TGTGGCCTGTAAGTGTGAAAGTGGCCAACCTCTTTCCTGGGGTTCTGCTCTGGAACATTGGAGTTGAGTGCAAGAGTGACTTCACCAAAGCTTGGAGTGTTAGCTAAACTGGCTCTTCAATCAGAGACATACCAGTGGAGGGGCCTGCTTTTCTTTTTTGTTATGAACGAACACTTTTAAACACACACATAGAAAGATTAATACAATGAACCCCTGTATATTCATCCCTCAGATTCAGAAATTATCAAGATTTTGCTAAATTTGTTTCATCTGTTCCATTTTATTTTTTCTTGCTGTGTGTTTTATTTTATTTTTTATTTTTATTTTTTAATTATTTATTTATTTATGATAGTCACACAGAGAGAGAGAGGCAGAGACACAGGCAGAGGGAGAAGCAGGCTCCATGCACCGGGAGCCTGATGTGCGATTCGATCCTGGGTCTCCAGGATCGCGCCCTGGGCCAAAGGCAGGCGCCAAACTGCTGCACCACCCAGGGATCCCTTGCTGTGTGTTTTAAAGCAAATTTCAAACATTTATGATTTCTTTTTTTAATTATCTATCTATCTATCTATCTATCTATCTATTTATTTATTTATGAGGGACACAGAGACAGAGAGAGAGAGAGAGAGGCGGGAGCGGGGGCAGAGATACAGGCAGAGGAAGAAGCAGGCTCCACGCAGGGAGCCCGACGCGGGACTCGATCCCAGTCTCCAGGATCACACCCCAGGCCAAAGGCAGCGCCAAACTGCTGAGCCACCAGGGCTGCCCAAGCATTTATGATTTCAATCCTATGTATTTCAGTGTACATCTCTACAAATAGGCCATTTACTTGTGTCATTGCAATGCCACCATGAATCTAACAAAGTTAACAGTAATTTCTTCATGTCATCTCATAGAGGATGTCACTAGTAAGCCTCATTTTAGGTTATGCTTGCCATTTTGGGGGTCTTTAAGGTCTTCATTGGCTTGGGCCCAATAAATTATTACCATGGAGAATTCTGCATGATAGGCTTTTTCTGGATACTTTTTCTAATGAAAGAATCTGATTGTGTTCAAGGAGTTGATTCTAATAACTTTACCCTCAGGTAGGTATTCTACAGAAACCCATTTAATTACTCTTGCAAGTATACTCAAGCTACGGAAAACTTCTTAGTTTGAATTAAGATTTAAATATAGTCAGAAGCAACTGTCTCTGGGTCATACTTTGTATGATAGCATATTGGACTTCCCACTCTGGTATGGTCATTCAAAAAAAATATAGTCAGAAAGTATGATGGTGTTTGATATTCAAGGCACAAAAAGAGCTGACCATGGTGGAGTTATAGTTCTTGCCATGATGTTTGTTTTTTTTTTCTTTCTTTTTCTTTCTTTTTCTTTTTCTCTTTTTCTTTCTTCTTTCCTTCCTTCCTTCCTTCCTTCCTTCCTTCCTTCCTTCCTTCCTTCCTTCCTTCCTTCCTTCCTTCCTTCCTTCCTTCCTTCCTTCCTTCCTTCCTTCCTTCTTGATTTTATTTATTTGACAGAGCACAAACAGAGGGAGTGACAGAGGGAGAGGGAGAAGGAGGCTCCTTACTGGGCAGGGAGCTCCATGCAGGGCTCAATCCCAGGATTCTGGGATCATGACCTGAGCCGAAGGCAGACACTTAACTGACTGAGCCTCCCAGGTGCCCCTCTTTGATTATTTTTACTTCAACTAATTTACTTATACTCCTGAAAGTACCAGCAGTATAGCCTTATCCTTTTAACACACATGCAAACAAAGATGTGTATCATAAAATATTGTGGGAACTCAGAGAAGTGAAGTAGGCAGACTGGGAACCATGTAGGGTTTTTTTGTTTTTTGTTTTTTAAAGATTTTATTTATTTATTCATGAGAGACACACACACAGAGAGAGAAAGAGACAGAGACATAGGCAGAGGGAGAAGCAGGCTCCATGCAGGAAGCCTGATGTGGGACTTGATCCCAGGACTCTGGGATCATGCCCTGAGCCAAAGGCAGATGCTCAACTGCTGAACTACTCAAGTATCTCCATGTGGGTGCTTTTTAAAAAGATTTTTCTTTTTTTTTTTTTTAAATATTTTATTTATTTATTTATGAGAGACACACACACAGAGAGAGGCATAGACACAGGCAGAGGGAGAAGCAGGTTCCATGCAGGAAGCCTGATGTGGGAATCGATCCCGGGAGTCCAGGATCATGCCCTGAGCTGAAGGCAGGCCCTAAACCGCTGAGCCACCCAGGGATCCCTAAAAAGATTTTTCATCAGGGTTAGAGTAGATTTTTTCACTTCCTGAGAGCTTGGACACAAATTGTTATATGTCATCTGATCCTGTGGATTTTTTTTTTAATATTTTATTTAGTTATTCATGAGAGAGACAGAGACATAGGCAGAGGGAGAAGCAGGCTCCAAGCAGGGAGCCCAATGTGGGACTCGATCCCGGGACTCCAGGATCACGCCCTGGGCAGAAGGCAGGTGTTAAATTGCTGAGCCACCCAGGGATCCCCATGATCCTGTGGATTTGTAATATGATTTCTAACACAATACAAATTTTAATTACTATTATTGCAATATTATTTACTGACCAAAATTAATCTCATTACCTTTCCATGGTCCTTTCTCTGTGTTTCCTGTCTTGGTTGGTGGCATCATTCCCCCCCCCCCCCATGAGAAAGTCTAAGATTTTTCCTTTGACTTCTACTACCAGTTAGTCATCTTTGTAGTAACCCCCTTTACTTCATTCTGGGTTTCCAGCTCTTGGTCCAGATCTTGACTCTGAAGAATCATTAGGAGAGCTTTCAATTTGCCTTAGTCTTTGTTTGTTGCTTTCCCAGCCAATCCATCAGCTCCTTACTGCTGGCTGTCATTTTAAAACAGAAATCTCATCACATCACTCCTTTACACACCAACCCCTGGCTTGGTCTGTAGCTCTTAGTTGTCTACAGACCGAGCCAGCCCTCTTAGTGTGACACATGAGGTGCTGTGTGCCTCCGCCACATTAGACTACATGCTGTTGCTTCATGTATTTCCTACTTTCTTTTCTTTTTTCTTTTTTTTTTAAAGATTTATTTATGTATTTGAGAGAGTGACAATGTGCATGCCCACAGATTGCGGAGAGGGAGAGGGAGAGGGAGAGCAAGTCGTTTTTTTTTTTTTACATTTATTTATGATAGTCACACACAGAGAGAGAGAGAGAGGCAGAGACACAGGCAGAGGGAGAAGCAGGCTCCATGCACCGGGAGCCCGACGTGGGATTCGATCCCGGGTCTCCCGGATCGCGCCCTGGGCCAAAGGCAGGCGCCAAACCGCTGCGCCAGCCAGGGATCCCAGAGGGAGAGCAAGTCTTAAGCAGACTCTGTGCCTAGCTGGAGCCTGACTCGGCCTGATCCAATGACCTTGAGGTCACGACCCCAACTGAAAACCAAGAGTCGGGCGCTCAACTGGCTGTGGCACCCCAGCACCCTATATTCCCTACTTACATTCTTCCCTGCTCAGTCCACATTGCCTGTTATCTGGAATGCTGATAAGGGATAGAGATCCCAGCCAATGTGCTTTCGTTTATTATGCGAAATAAATACAGGTGGAATCAGTTATAAGGAAGTTTTTCTTGTGTCTTTGAGTTTTATCAAGTCAGTATGAGACTATAGATCAAAAATATTCATGGATGGGGATTCCTGGGTGGCTCAGCAGTTTAGCACCTACCTTTGGCCCAGGGCGTGATCCTGGAGACCTGGGATTGAGTCCCACGTTGAGCTCCCTGCATGGAGCCTGCTTCTCCCTCTGCCTGTGTCTCTGCCTCTCTCTCTCTCTCTCTGTGTGTGTGTGTGTCTCTCATGAATAAATAAATAAAATCTTAAAAAAAAAATATTCGTGGGGCAGCCCCGGTGGCTCAGCGGTTTAGCACTGCCTGCAGCCCAGGGCGTGATCCTGGAGACCCTGGGTCGAGTCCCGCTTCGGGCTCCCTGCGTGGAGCCTGCTTCTCCCTCTGCCTGTGTCTCTGCCTCTCATTCTCTCTCTGTGTTTCTATGAATAAATAAATAAAATCTTAAAAAAATATTCGTGGATGCAGTTTTTAAAGTTTAATACTCTAGGGATTTAGAGCCTTAAATTTTTTTTTTAAATATTTTATTTATTTATTCATAGAGACACAGCTAGAGAGAGAGGCAGAGACATAGGCAGAAGGAGGAGCAGGCTCCATGCACCGGGAACCCGACGTGGGATTCGATCCCGGGTCTCCAGGATCGCGCCCTGGGCCAAAGGCAGGCGCCAAACCGCTGCGCCACCCAGGGATCCCTAGAGCCTTAAATTTTAACAGTGGTGCCAGTTGCCTGTTTTGATCATTCCTGCCCCCCCTTGAATCTCTAAATTCTGCCTTTACTATTGTTTATCACTCTTTGCCTGTGTACGGAGGGGGAGGAAGATGTAAAAATAAAGGAAGTAGATTTCAGTTAGGGACAGAGAGACATCCTGATAGAAGAGGTTATCAAACACCAGCTGTTTGTGGTTTGCTAAGGAGGAAATACTTTTAAAAAAGAGAGAGAACTTTTCATTTTGAAATAGGATTCTTTGTTGCATTAATGTCTTATATAGTCTTTTTCAAAATGTAGAATTAAAGGGTGGGGATCTTTTTAGTTGTCTTAGTAACTAAAATTTTTTTTTTAAAGATTTATTTTTGAGAGAGAGGGTGTGTATGCATGAGTAGAGAGGGCAGGGCGGAGTTGGGGGAGGGGGCAGGGGAGAGGGAGACAGATAGTCTTTATAAACAGATTCCTTGCTGAGGGTGGAGCCTGATGTGGGGCTCTGTCTCACAACTCTGAGATCATGACCTGAGCTGAAACCAAGAGTTGGTAACCCAACAGACTTCACCACCCAGGCAGCCCTGTAATTGTTTTAATGAGGCATTTTGAGATTTACCTGTTTATATCATTAAAAAGATACTATGTTTATATAGACTTTTCAGAAAAGTATTCAGTTGTTATTTCAAATATCTTTATTTATTTTTAGACAAAAGAAGTTAGAAAAAGTGATGGAAGAAGAAGGCCTAAAAGATGAAGAGGTAATTCATATTTTGGAAATTTTTCCTTGAACCCAGCATGGCAGATCTTGCCCAGCAAGTTGTTAGCCTTGGTGCATAGGGAAAGGGTCTTGGCTTAGTAACAGAGGAACTTATGAGAGCTGGTTTACTTTTGGATTTAGGTATTTATGCAAAGGGAGAAATTAATTACTAAGTACCAGGGAGAAGAATATTTATCTAGGCACAATTATAGTAAATTAACTAGATTTAGAATTCTAAGAAAGAGATGAGATCACATTAAAATTTAAAAAAGCAAATTATAGCATATTTACAGAAATCATGGGAAAGTCTTTAAGAAGTGGTGCCAATTTCTGAAATCATTATCAAGGCAAAATATCAAATCAGCTCTTCCCCCAATGCCTACAGATGCGGTAGGAAAAAATACAGTTAAGAAACTATGCAAAGAACCGAAATGAGAGTGGAAATGCTTTCAAAAATAGGAATGAATCATAGAATCCAGGAAAACCCAAAAAACCCCAACAAACCCAGAAGGAAATTTAAAAAAGCTCATACCCTTTTATTTTATATGCAGAAATTAAAGGAAAACATTGATTGTTTATTCTTCCTTCATTAGAAAAGTTCAAATAGTTGATTGCCAAAGTTGGTAGAGTCCTCAGAGGAGGCAGGCACCCATCTGTTCTCTATGGTTTGGTTATTGTGTCCAAATGCTGGGGAGGGGAGATTTGACCTCTTAAGGGTTCTTCTGTGAGGCTTTCATGTGTGAGAAGGTTGTGTGCTTAGTCTGTGTGGCCCTGCTTTCCAATCACAAATAAGACTGTTAAGGAGTTGCAGTGTTTCAGTTCCTCCCCTTCCCACCTCTCTTTCCCTTTATTTAAACATTAGAAGCGACTGAGGAGATCTGCGCATGCTCGGAAGGAAACAGAATTTCTTCGTTTGAAGAGAACAAGACTTGGATTGGAAGATTTTGAGTCCTTAAAAGTGATAGGCAGAGGAGCATTTGGTGAGGTAAAAACACTAAAGCTACTTATCAGATATAAAAACACCACAGAACTTTGAAGCTGCTGCATATTCATGATTGTTAATAGAACTGAAATATGGGGTAGATAGGTCAGGCATGCCAGCCCCACATTGTAACTGCTCTGTCTGTCCTTTCTTTCTTTCCCCCTCCCCTGTCCCAGATCTCTGATTATTCTTCTGTTTTGCCAGAGATGATGTTGATGTTCTAAGTATTGATCTAGAGGGAGAGTTGAAAGGTAGAAGGAAATCAATATTTATTATTTACTGAGTGCTTCTCTCCTACAAGAACTCATTTTATGGATGATGAAATTAAGACTCAAGGGGGATATATAATGTTCTGTTGTCACATGGCCATTGAGCAGTAGCCCCAGAAGTTGGGCCCAGGAATTCCTGGATTTTTTCTTAAAGTTTTTTTTTTTTTTTTTTTTTTTTTAAGATTTTATTTATTTATTCATGTGAGACACAGAGAGAGGCAGAGACACAGGCAGAGGCTCCCCACGGGGAGCCCGATATGGGACTCGATTCCAGGACCCTGGGATCACAGCCTGAGCCAGAGGCAGATACTCAACCACTGAGCCACTCAGGCATCCCTTTCTTAAAGTTTTTAATCACCCAGTGCTCATGATGACAAAGTGCTCTCCTTAATCCCCATCACCTATTTTCACCCATCCTCCTGCTCACCTCCCCTATGGTAACCATCAGTTTATTCTCTATAGTTGAGTGTCTGTTTCTTGGTTTGTCTCTCTCTTTTTCCTCCTTAACCCATTTGTTTTGTATCTTAAAGGAGTTCCTGATCTTACATAAGCTCTTGCTTTTCCCAGCATCACACTGCCTCTCTAAGAGCAAACTAACAGCATATCTGTACCCTTCATTTCTTCCCCCAGATTGCTATTGCTCTGAAAATAGTTCCAGGAGACAGAATTTATAGAAATAGGTTATGCAGATAGTGGTAGAGAGCTGAAAGCATCTGTAGCTTTGTCCTACCTGGTCTCGTAGATGCATCCTGCTAGGTCATAAGGGCAGTCTGGTGGGGAGGGTTTGAATGAGCCCATGTGAGGTCATCATCGTTAATGGTAAACACCCAAAGTAGACTACTTACTGATGCAATAGTTTCATTAACTTTGTATAAAAGGAGTAGCATATTATTAAAAACCCATACCTAGGGGAAATGTGAGTACCTACTGAGAAGCACAAGTCAAAAAATTAAATTGATCCCTCAGTGTTCAGAATCCCTGTTGGCTCCTGGGGAGAGGGAAAGGTATGGTACTCCCTCTGAAAGGACTGTTTAGTGAGGAAGGGACATCAGACTCAGGAAAAACCGGAAGAAAGGTACAGGGAGAAGAAAGCATACATGTCTTATGGGGGTAGGGGGAGGATGTGTGGGGACTTGCCAAGAGATTTGTCTTTGGGTTGATAGACCATTAGTTTTCTTTTCATCATAAAATTATCTGTTCTTTCTAAAAACATTGGAAGATAAAGAGAAAGGAAAACTGCATAAAACTCCATTTCCCTAATTATACCTTTTAGATTTTTTCCTTCTTGACGTTTTTCCTACCCATAAGCTTTTACTGTTGTTTTGAACATTGTTGTAATCGATTCCTTAGGTTTTCTGAGCTGACTGGATTGATATGTGGCATGGGTATAATGAATCCTTAAATTTGAAAGTGAGGGTTTTAAATTAGATGGATTTATTCAAAGAAGGAGTGAAACCTGTTCAGATGTGGAGATGTTTGAGAATGTTTTCAGGGATGACTTCATGATATATAATAAATATATCCATTCTGGAACATTAAAAAAGTGCTTTTTTCTGCTTTGTTATTGCTGGTTGCTTGTATTAATAGTGTAATACTTTTTTGGTTTAAATTATTTCTTAAAACACATGAAAGCATTAGCATGGCATTGTGAACTTTTGACTTGACATTTCTTTTATAACTTTTAGGTGCGGCTTGTTCAGAAGAAAGATACAGGGCATGTGTATGCAATGAAAATACTCCGTAAAGCAGATATGCTTGAAAAAGAGCAGGTAAACCACAATTGTAGGAGTGATTTTAGTCAGCTGATAAATTTTGTGTCATGTAAAACTGTTCTTTTTGTTTATTTGAAATGTATTTTATTACAGTCTTCTTTAGCACTGATTGATGTATGAATGTACATATAATTACTTTTCTTTCCCCAATGAAGAAGCAGTTACATATATTTTAAAAGTACAACTAATGCCTTATGTTGTATGGTCTTTTAAACGTTGAAAACCTATTAGAAGCATCTGCTGTTCGTGTCTCCCATTTGATCACAAGCTGTGGTTGTCATGAGGAGCCTGTTTTTGAGGTCACCCTTGCTGTGGTACCGTGTTCCTACTGAATGCTGAGAGAAATTGTATATATATACCTTGGAACTGAGACTTAGGAATTAGCAAACTAAAATGTGTCTTAATACGCTTCATTCTGTACACTCGAACCAAAGTTGGGTCTTCTGACCTGCTCATTATTACCCAAGAAAGGAGACCCGCTCATTATTACCCAAGAGAGGAGACCAGTCTTCATTCTGAGTGAATTTGAAAAAACCTAATGCAAACGGCAGAGCAGTGCAAATTCTCCTTTAAGGAGTAAGAACGCTTTCTAAAACCTAAACCTACTTTGCATATAGATTTAAAAGATGCAGAAATACTTTATGCAAAATAAAATGTTAAATATTGGACAGTATGTTAAAAACAAAAATGCAGCCTTTCTGTAAATCTAATATCATTCAGCAGTTTGCTTAAGAATAGATTGTAGTGGGTGATGCCTGCATAGGTCCTGTAAAGGATCAGATGCCCTAGGAGAGAACAGAGAGACTGTGGCAAGGGGAGCTCTGGGTATAGAGTGTAAGAGCAGGGATGGAGACCAGCCCCACACCCAACCCCTTTCTGCCTCATGAAAGGAGGCATAATCACTAAGGCTTCTCTGTCCTTCTTTTAAGTGCCAGTCACCATTTGGAGTTTTTATTTTCTCTTTAATTTTCGTGTATTATCCATAAGCTTAGACTCATGGGAATTTTGGTTGAGAGTATCAAATACTCTGGCAGTGAACCTTCAGACACCATAGCTTATGCTAATACCAACCTCATTCAGAATGCTCAAGAGCCCTGTTTGTGTATTATCTAAAAATTAGTGTGCACTATGGGTGTAGGCACTGAAAGAGTTTCAGTCTTGGAAAGGGAAAAGCACAACTGTATGGATTAGTCACTATACTTTGTATTTCACAAGTAAGCTTTATTTTTACAAGACCTATTTCCTGTAGTTTTAACCAACGCTCGAAATGTTTCTTTATCAAAGAATGTTCAGAATCAAATTGTAAAAAGAAGTGTGCATCATGACTTTCACTTATTGATCCTTCATAGTTCCAGTTGCCCAGAATAGTCACAGATTATGATCCAAACATATGGTGTAAAATATTTTTTCAAGTTGTACTTTCTTCAAAAATCATTTTCGAAAGTTTTCCTACATGAGAGTAGAGGGACTTTGTGAAAATTAGGGTTTTTATTTTTTATTTATTTTTTAAAGATTTTATTTATTTATTCATAGAGATGCAGAGAGAGAGAGAGAGAGAGAGAGAGAGAGAGAGAGAGAGAGAGAGGCAGAGACACAGGCAGAGGGAGAAGCAGGCTCCATGCAGAGAGCCTGACGTGGGACTCGATCCAAGGTCTCCAGGATCACGCCCTGGGCTGCAGGCGGCACTAAATCGCTGCACCACCAGGGCTGCCCAAAATTAGGGTTTTTAAACAGTACATTAACTGAATTGTTAGCTCACCTTGCTGCTGGACTCTGCTCCCTGGGTTGAATCTCAGTGTGGTCTAGTTAAAGTTTCTGGCTGTAGACATGGCCTGGATCAGCCATCTTGAAGAAGCATACTTTGTGCTAGGGTGTGAGGGGAGGTAGACCAACCAGTGCAAATCCATTACTTTTCAGTAGGACTGACAAAATTTAGATTCAGAGCCTAACTTTTTGTTAGGTAGAGTATCTTATCCATAGGAAAAGTTTTGTTTTTTTTTTTAATTTTTTTAAATTATTATTTATGATAGTCACACACAGAGAGAGAGAGAGAGAGAGAGAGAGAGAGAGGCAGAGACATAGGCAGAGGGAGAAGCAGGCTCCATGCACCGGGAGCCTGATGTGGGATTCGATCCCGGGTCTCCAGGATCGCGCCCTGGGCCAAAGGCAAGTGCCAAACCGCTGCACCACCCAGGGATCCCCATAGGAAAAGTTTTTTGTTTGCTTTTACTAAACTGAATAGGAATTAAAGCTACTCGCTGAGAGTTCAGGTTGTTATTCTCATCCTTAGGATAGAAATTTTGCTATCTGGAAAATTTTAAAGGATAAGAGACCAGCACTTAGTTTTTTCGTGTGTCTCTTACATTGCAAAAGGAAAACCTCCAGTTGTGATGCCAGTATAGTATTAGGATGGGACAAAAGATAGACTTATCTCTGCTCTTTTCTTTTAGTGTTTAGGATAGCAACTAGCATGTAACTGTCCACTCCATTAAATATTTATGGAACAAGGAAAAGGAACCTCTGATGTGAATTGCACCTCTGGTTCTTCCCTCCCTGATCCTATATTTACCTGACTCCACTACCATCTGGATCTTGAGGTTCCTAGCTGCTGTTTCAGCCCCAGGAAAGAAGGGCAAGATGTGCACAGGTTGCCTATAGCTTTCCCCTTGACAAACAGTGAATGTTGCACTCACTTCCAAGGTGAGTGATGAGTGGGAGTGGTTGTGCCTTGCTTTTTCTTTGACTCCCTCCACCAAGTAGAAGCTCTTCTCTGGAGCCAGGAGAGCAGAGGCAGGTGGAGGTTGACTTGCGCAGTCTTCACATCTGCTAATGCCAGGGGAATATCCCCAGCTGCAGTTGAGCAAGTGACATTTGTGTTTTCCACAGCTTTGCTTCTGTGGGAAAGCCGAAGAAAAGCATCTGCTCCTACGCAGCTTCTTTGTGATTTCCTAGCACTGTTTCTTAACACCCTTCTTCCATTTCCCCACCCTTGTACCCTAAATAGAGATCTACAAAAGGAAAGTTTTCTGCCACCTTGAAGCTATTTAAAAAGTTACCAAACAATTTTAGTAGAGCCTTGAAACCAAAATCTGTAAACTCAAGTGCTCTGAGGCCCACGGGAAGAATGGGGCAGGTTCCCTGTAAGATGGGAGAGAGGAGTGAGAGCTGTGTCTTACTGGAAGAGCAAGTGCCTGGCTTTGCTAAAGACATTCCAATAAAACAAGCATATAGAACACTGTATCAAACAAAACAACAGCCATGGGCTGAGTTTGCCACAGAAGTGCCAGTTTGTGAGCTATGGTACATCTTCACCTCCTAACATGGAGTAGAACTCAAGCCCTTCAACATATGTTAAGAATAAAATCTCTACTCAAGAATTGGACTGGGTCTTAATAAACATAGATCTGATTGAACTCAGTTTTACATTTTGTGACACATAAGGGGAGAGGGAGTGGGATTTGATAACACACAACAGTGTTTTGATTACTATTACATATTTAAAGTAGATAAGGTAAATTTGATAATGAAACATTATTTTAATGAAGTAATTCTGCTGGTTCTCCCAAACCTTTGGTGACTTGGTCTCAGCTAGGTAAGTTTAGTAAGAGCAGAAAACTGGCAATAGAAATTTGAATCAGTAACTTTTCTTAGGTATTCTTATATTACAATTCAGTAAGAACTGAGCAGTTAACTCTGTGAACAGCAGTGAACTGAATGCTGTGGAATAGTATTCTAGAATTGTCAACTAGGGCATTGTCATTGCTGATCTCATCGCAGACCCGAGCCAGGACTTACTTATTTAGAGAGTCTCATCTTGGGGCCTTATTTTTGTCATAAAGATTATTGGAACAAAAAGCTGTGCAAAGAATGGTAGTTTTAATTAATCAGAGGTTCAATTTATAGCACTGTGAAAGTTGCCGTTTGCATTATAGCCATTCATTGTGTTATTTTTTTTAAGCCTTTCATCACTCAGGTGTTCATGACTGAATACCTTCAAGTCAAATGTTGTCTGTTTTGAGTTCATACGTTTGCCTGAGCAGAAATTAGTTCTTTTGCATCATCACAATTTAATACTCAAACAGTATTTAAATTGTTTAAACAAATATACAGTCGAATAAAGCAGAGCAAGGCTTGTCATTAATCAAATGCGTATACCTCCAGGTTGGCCACATTCGTGCGGAGCGTGACATTCTAGTGGAGGCAGACAGTTTGTGGGTTGTGAAAATGTTCTATAGTTTTCAGGATAAGCTAAACCTCTACCTAATCATGGAGTTCCTGCCTGGAGGTAATTACTTGATGATGAAAGGTCATTTTTCCTTTTTGTTCTGTGGTTTCTCTCTCACGTCAATTAACCCTCCTTTCTACTTTTAATCGTGCTCACAAAGTTGCTTTCTATATCTTTTTTAGGTCTGTAAAGGAGGTCAGTAACCTGTCTTGTGCTGGGGTGCCTTTCTACAATTCTTAGTGCCATAAAAGTAACCTCATTCATTCTCATGATTTCAGATGGACATTTCTTTCTTTTCTTTTTCTTTTTCAATATAGGAATACAATAGGGACTCTGCTTGCTCTCCTGTCAATGGGAATCATGTATAATCAGTACCCAAGTGACCAAATTGAAGCTATTACTTTTTTTGCTTCAACTTTTTTGTTCTTTTTCTGTAACTTCTATTAATGAATGAATCTCTCATTACATTATATTAGTAGTCAGAATCAATTTCTCATATTTGAGATTTCAAGTTTTATATAACCCAGCATGTGTATCTCCTAAGACTGCTCCAAAGTAAACCCATAACAGAACATACCATCTGTTCTGGGGGAAGACAGTCTGTTTGCCAGTGAGCTGATGAGCTGTGAGCAAACTCTGGTGGCCAAAAAAGAAAACTTTTTTTCTCTTTGGTTCTATAGCAAAGCAAAATGCAACTGTAGTATAATATTTTGATCCTGTGAGAACCTTTAATTAGATCTAGGGTCATCAATTTTTAATGAACAATTAAAGAAAGTTAGGAGTCTATGTAGTAGAATGAGGAAAAACTTTTGAACATTTAGAAGCCAGTTCTTAAATAGGAATAAAACCCAGCTCAGCCACCAGCCCCTTGACACATGTCTCCTCAAGCCTTTAAGTACACCATCTTCCATAGCTTCTCATGTCTCCTGGACCCTGCCCTTTGCACTTGGTGAAGCTGGCCTGCAGAGCCATAGACCATCTGACTTGAGCTCTCTGATCATCTGGGCAAACTTGCACAGGTGAGGCCATTGGCTATTCTCCTGGGCCACAGCACTAAGGTGACATAGCTACCCTAAAGCTAGCCTGAGTGCACCATGTCTCTGGTGTGCCTCCAGATTGAATAGGTAGCTGCCAGGAGTGATTAGGGAATCCTGGTTTTCAAGTCTTGGGTCAAAAAAGAGAGCATTTTAATAAATGGTTTAATTTTTTGCCTGAGCATAAAATATCCACTCTTCCAAGAACACATGAAATTCCCCCAAAGTTATAAATGAAATTCACAAAGTGGCATGATGCTGTATTAAAATCAGAGGTTTCTTTCTCTTTTCCTTTTTTCTGACCATAAATGGCTTTATATGTAATCTAAACTGAATCTTTCCTGTTTCTCTTAGCTTTAAACTACTTATACATATTTTTTCTTTGCTTTGCTTTTTGTCTAACCATTGAGTTAGGATCAGAATCTTTTTTTTTTTTTTCCATTTTATGTTGTTGATATTAAGCAGAGATAATTAAATTTTGACTTTGCAGAAAACTAGGGAGTTTACCTTTTACCTGATAGAATACTGATACTGTGTCATAAAAGTTGCATAAAGCCTATCGGTGTATATTTAACTACCTATAATAAAACTCTGGAGAAGAAACTCCACTGATCTCGGGAGGTGTTCACTTTGCACTTTGGGGAGGCAGCCATTACGTATCTCAGTACATAGCATTTTCAGTTCCTTTTTACCTTTTGTTGACTTAAACTCTGCTACCTAAATCACACCTTTTTATGTTCAAGTGTTTTGTAAGTAGAGACTGGAGACCTTGTTTTCAGCTTTCTCATATATTTAGTTTTTGTTTGGCATTTCGACCTCTCTCTATAATAGTGGCAGTACTGCCTGTGTGGAAATGCCATTTGGTTCTAGGTTATAGAGAAGTTGGCAGGCAAAATGAAAAGTAAAGCAATTTTTTTCCCACTCCAAAAATTTACTGTAAGTAAATTGTGTGTGTGTGTGTGAGCGTGTGTGTGTGTGTGTGTGTGTGTGTGTGTGAGAGAGAGAGAGCGAGAAAGGGATTTCCTTTTTCTCTCTAAATTACAATGTAAATCAATGCTCAGTGGTCAGCATCAGGTTAGGTTAAAAACATTTTTCTCTCCTTGGCTGTGAATTTTACTTTTAAGTCTTAAGTCTTAGAGACTGTTTACCATTTCCACCCATATTGGCAGTGTGGGGTCAGTTTCTGGAACACAAAAGAGGCTTGTTTATTACTGCCTTATGTAGGCTGATAGGGAAGACCAATCTGGAAACTGGCGCTTACTTATGTATTGTGTGTATGTGTGTGTGTGTGTGTGTGTGTGTGTGTGTGTGTGTGTGTGTGGTGTCTTATATCTTCTTGTTTGCAGGGGACATGATGACCCTATTAATGAAAAAAGATACCCTGACAGAAGAGGAGACTCAGTTTTATATAGCAGAAACAGTATTAGCCATAGACTCCATTCACCAACTTGGATTCATCCACAGAGACATCAAGCCAGACAACCTTCTCCTGGACAGCAAGGTACTGTGGTAGGGGAGAAGCGTGCCTGATGTGTGTTTCCTCATCTGAGGAGTCTCTGCTTTCACAACTGTACCATTTATAATCACAGTAAGGAAGCTGGGCACTGCCTTTTGGGGTGGGGGTGGGTGGGCAGTAAGCTTGCTGTTACTTCCTTTCTCTGAAATGCATATGATTCTATAATTTGATTGAATAGTCTTTTTAAAAGTAAAGGATATTTTCAAAAATGATTAAGAGGAAAATTGACTTAGAAGCTTATTTTATGATAAAGCCAAAGATAGTCATCTTTTCCTAGCATATAATTAACTATTCAAATGCATCACCTATTGGGAACCCTTCTGTTGGCAAACCTTATTAGTTGAGGAACCAACTAAGAACCAGGAAGTAAGACAATCAAAAACAACAAAAGTCTCTCCCAAAGTTCAGGTTCCAGATCTTTTGTCCTCTGTGTAAAGAAGAGTCCTGCTCAACCTCTGAACTGCTCTGTTTGTAATTTTCTTCAGACATGCAAATGAGTTCAGTCTCTTGGTTCTTAAACTCATAGCAAATGACAAGAGAATCGCTGTGCTGCTAGATTGCTGGCTGCTCCTTGGCACGTCTCCCCACGGTCCAGAACTCACGTATTTATAAAGTGGATATATTGTTCCAGAGAAGCTCCAAAATCTTTTCCAGCTGTAAAATTTTAGGATGTTTTGTTCTATTACACAGTTGTCTGGACTGAACTTTTAAGTAGAGCAGTGAATGTGATTCTTATATTTTTCTTTTTTGCCATTTTTTAAAAGTTTTATTTATTTAAGTAATCTCTACACCCAGTATGGGGCTTGAACTCACGACTCCAAGATCAAGAGTCGCATGCTCCACTGACTCAGCCAGCCAGGTGCCCCTCTTCCTGTCTTTTGATAATTTTCTTGGGATCTTTGAAAAACTTGAACTTTTGGTATACTTTTTTTAAAAAACTTTTATCTTAAAAAAAAAAAACAAAACTTTTATCTTTCTATTTCAAAATGGCAGGAGATTTACCAAATAATTTCTTCTGGTTAGTAGCTTTTTTCTTTGTCATAAGAATATATACATAGTAGAAAATTTGGACAGTACCAAGAGTTATAAAGAAGAAAAATACCTATAATCTGATAATTCAAAGATAATTACTGTTTTGGTATAATAGCCTCAGTACCTTTTCTGTTTGTGTCTATAATTTATATACAGTTAATATCCTAAAAGCACTTTAAAAATATTAATGTATATAAATTATTCTTTAAGATTTTATTGATTTATTTGAGAGAGAGAGTATGAGCAGGGGAAGGGGCAGAGGGAGAAGAAGGCTCCCCATTGAGCAGAGAGCCTGATGAGGGGCTGAATCCCAGTGCCCTAGGACCCTGGGATCATGACTGGGGCTGAAGGTGGATGCTTAACTGACAGCCACCCAGGTGCCCCTCAAATTTTTCTTCTGTGTCATTATGTTCAGATATATTTTTAATAGAGTACTGGCCCTACTTTCTGTGGTTGGATTCAGATGCCCTGGTCCTGTATCCAAATGAATTAGTGCAGGCTTAGTTGAACCCTGTAGTCTGTGTTGAGGTCCAGCAAGCATATTGAAGGGCAAGACATTGGGGCTTCAATATAACTGAGGAGTGAGGAACCCTTGTAGGTGCACATTTGCTCTCTACAAGATGCTAGCCCAAACTTGTAGAAAAATGTTCTCACGAACAAGCTCATTTAGGTGTTCAGCCATACAGATTCTAGAAGTGAAACTGGATGTTTTGAGTTCCTGGTGCATACTTAAAAAAGCTACAAAATTCCCTGAAATTAGGCTTGATTAGCATCTGCTCCAGTACTGCTTTTTCCATTCCTGTCTTAGAGGTATCTAGGTAAAATGTAGTTTTGAGAACTATAAATTAAACTCTGGCCCTTGACTTGTACAACATATTATTTGCAGATCTCAAACAAGTGGTACCAAGTTAGCAAGCTCAAGGCTGTCTTCGTTTGGCAGTTTACGTTATTGTGCATGCATACACATGTATGCAACACACACAAGGCCAAACCTAAGGGGATTTCTTCAAAATAAAACTTGACCCACCTGGCAGGGTTTCTGTAGCCTCCTTGTATCCTGAGAAGTTTGTATGTTAAAGTATGTCTGAAGGAAGGTGGTGGAAAGACCACAGATGTTGAAATCACTGGGGCTTAACCCTTGCCATGCCACTTCTAATTGTACGACCTTGAGCAGTGTGTAGATCCCTGCACATCAGGATTCCCTCCCATAATTTTGGCTTTATTTCCATATCCACTTGAAATTTCACTACTGCAAGGACACCTACCTCTTTCTCAGGACTGGTTATGTGCACTAGGTAAGGAGCTTTATGTGCATTAATTCTCATCATTCCTACCAGGAAGATACCATTATTTCCATTTTCCAGATGAGATCAGGGGGTTGGAGAGGGTAGGTAATCCTGGTCTGGGGAGAAGGAACATAGATTGATTTCTGGCTTTGGTTCTCCCATTTCACCAGTAAGCCATTTAACAAGTCTGAGTCAGTGAAGTGCGGCTTAAGCGTTATAAATGAGATGATACATTTAAAGCATGAGGCCTGGCTCAGAGGAGGTGTGAGTGTTCCTTGAAGAGAATGATAAATCATAAGTGTCTACTTATGATTAAAATATAGTATAGCAACATTTGTCAGGAACTATGTAATAACATTCATTCTCTGTCTTTGGAATAATTTATCCCTTGGACTGTAGCCTAATGAAACAATTCAAGAGTAAAAGTTACATGAACAAAGACTTGTTCATTTATTCATTATTTAACAATCATTTGTTGAAACCATCCTCTGTACCTCTATCACAACGGTGCTTATAATCTACATCACATGAGAGTGAGAATTAGAAACATATTTTGAAGAGCCAGAAAATATAACGTCTGTTCCACATCTGAGAATGTTCATCTTCCATTACCTTATTTCTTCCCCACAGGGCCATGTGAAGCTTTCTGACTTCGGCCTTTGCACAGGACTGAAGAAAGCACATAGGACAGAATTTTATAGGAATCTGAACCACAGCCTCCCCAGTGATTTCAGTAAGTGTCAGTAGTGGTGTTAGCCTTTGTATCCCTAGAAGAGCTGTTCCCCAGGTAACCAAAATATGCAGGACGGATTAGGAGATTCTCACAACCTGAGTCTAGAGAATGAAAGTATCTTCCCAGGTGTGCCTGTGGTTTTTATTGTATGGAGAGGCAAGATGAGTGCTGCCGGATATATTAAGGTGGATGTTGGGAAGAGCCTTCTTTGGACCTCTACTGAGAAGGGGGGGATGTATATGGGGCAGGCAAGCAGTAGAGGAAAAAGTCCTGGGACCAGCTCTGGATGAGATTTATCCTAGGTACTTCTTTCTGTCATGGCAGAAAGAAATTGATCTTTGTAAGTGTTATTTTCACTCCAGCACTGTTAAACTATTAAAACTGGGATCCCTGGGTGGTGCAGCGGTTTGGCGCCTGCCTTTGGCCCAGGGCGCGATCCTGGAGACCCGGGATCGAGTCCCACGTCGGTCTCCCGGTGCATGGAGCCTGCTTCTCCCTCTGCCTGTGTCTCTGCCTCTCTCTCTCTCTCTGTGACTATCATAAATAAATAAAAATTAAAAAAAATAAACTATTAAAACTATGCAGTACAATTACAGTTCATCCTGGAGAAGGTTATGCCAAAAATGTATTCTAAATTCAGAAGTCTTTGAATACATGCTAATCATTACTCTTGGAAACTTGATGGTAATTTTGAGGAATTATGAATATCTTAGGTCTACTTTGGGACCTTCGCTTCTGATGAAACTGTATTCCCTGTAATTCTGATGAAGGCCTGTATCCTCTATGGCCGCATGACCCATGTGACTGGGTGATTCTTTGAGCTAATGCTTCAGTGACTTTGATTTGGGTTTATAGACTTGCTGGGAGGTGTGTTAGATCTAGAGTTACTGATGTACAAGCTGGAAAAGCAAGACTGAAGTCTCATGTGGCTTGAATCAGAGCCTGAAAAAATATTAAACATACCTGTCTGAACTTTGACTAGAACTTGTTCTCTCTACTTTTAGCTTTCCAGAACATGAATTCCAAAAGGAAAGCAGAAACCTGGAAAAGAAATAGACGTCAGCTAGTAAGTAATATCTGTGGCTTCCTAAATTGCTGCAAACTGAGTATGAGTAAATTTTAAAAATAGGCACAGAAATTTGCATCCAATAAATGTTGACAGCATATCTATTCCCTGCTTTTAAGATTACCTTGACAGAACACTGTCGTGTTGCCAGTGGCACCAAAGGTAGTATTTTGATGAAGGGAAGATAATTTTAGGTTGTTTTGGTTGTGACATTTTTAGTGGGGGACCTCATCCTGACCTTTTACAAGACAACCCCATTCCTTCCTATTCAATCTGTTCTCTATTTTTACGGTGTTGTAAAGGGGTTATTTTTGAATTGGAGGTCTCTCAAAATGAAACTAAGTTATAGATACCTATCCAGAGCTTTAAGGCCGCAGTTCTCAGACTTTTAAAATTTTGATTCACTTAGGCAAGTGAAGACTCTTCAGTTCACCTGCCCCACCCTTTCCTACTTTGTGGTAGAAAAGAGAACTTAGTGATAAAAATTGGAGAGAAATTTAAGGAAAGTGCTTATAACTTCCTGTATAAATAAATATATAGACAAAATTATGGGCTACAAGCTTAAAAATAAGTAACATTATTGCATTTACCTTGATATGTTGGAAGTGATTTTAAATACACAAAGTCACCAGTGAAATATTGCTGTCTAGGCAAACTTTTATTCTCATTCATTGGTTTATATCTGAAGTATAATCTTGTGTCCAAATGTCTAGTTATTGACCAGAGATAATAGAAGTGTGTATCACAATATACTTAGACTTTGCTAGAAGCCCATAGTGAATGGAATAAATGATCCTAAAGCTAAACTAACAGTTGGTCATAGAAAGCAAAAATAGCAGCTGTGGAAAATGATGGCTAACTTGGAATGATGGTCATGCACGTGTATCCTCTAGAAATTGTGGCACTTCTGCTTGTTGGTTGGTGTATACAGTAGTAACTTGGCGGGTTTGCCAAATACTTATTTGGGTCAGCCTTCTTAGTAAAATACTGATTTAGAGTTCTCTGTAGTATTTAGTAAGTCACTGGTAAGTAGTTGTCTGTCCTAGTGAAAATGGATGCCTGTAGAGTTGTTTGAAGAAAGCATCAAAAGAAAGGCTTGCATTTTTTGAGGCCCATTGGTGGGCCTCAGACCAGACCATGGTTTGAATATAATGATTTTTTTATTCAACCTGGGTCCTGGGAGAGGCATTATCTTAAACACTTCTAGAGATGTAGTAACTGAAATTCATCTTTGAGATCTTGTCCTAACATTAACTTGGGGATACTTATGGTTGGTATGTCAGTCACATCATGATCTCCTTTCCTTAGGAACTCTGATGCTCTTTAAGTGTGTGAATCTTGTATGTGGTTGAAAAACTGTTTACATAGCTTGTTGAGGGTTAGGAAATGTCAGGAACAAATTTGGTCAGATGCTTCTATTATGTCTCTCCATAGAGTAGTAGATCTTAACCTTGGCTGCACATCAGAATCACCTGGGGGACTTTAGAACCTATTGATGGCTGGGTCCTACTCCCAGAGATAGATTGAGTTGTTTTGGGGTATATAATCTGGGTATCTGGTTTTTTGAGAGGACTCTTGGTGATTTTACTGTGCAGTGAAGGTTGAGATCCTCCACTGAAGAGAACTATTTCTCAATAGCTTCTGCATTATTGGGAAACTGATATTTACCTGTGTTTTGGAAGCTAATGAAAGGTAAAAATTCTGATTTTTAAATTAAAAAAAAAAGATTTTATTTATTCATTCATGAGAGACACAGAGAGAGAAAGGGAGGCAGAGACACAGGCAGAGGGAGAAGCAGGCCCCATGCAGGGAGCCCAATGTGGGACTCGAGCCCGGGTCTCCAGGATCACACCCTGGGCCAAAGGCGGCGCTAAACCGCTGAGCCACCCGGGCTGCCCCTACACTTTTTTTAAAGTAAGCCAAGAGTTAACCTTTGGCTACAGTGCTAATATATTTACTTTTGTTTTTTAAAGTGATTTCTATGCCCACTATGGGGCTCAAACTCGCAGCCCCAAGATTAAGAGTTGCATGCTCTACCGACTGAGCCAGTCATTTCTGGTTTTGTCGTAGAAATTTCTTTAACAAAAAAAAAAAAAAAAAAAGAATTTTTTTTTTTAACAAATAAGATATACTTAATATTCAGTTTTGGTGGAATAAATCTAGTTTCTAAGTGGAAGGGTTTCTGTAGTTTCTTAACCTTTATAATTAGAATGAAAATATTTCTCGGGGAGACCACAGTCCATGTCTCAGACTTTAAAGCTTTAAAAACAACAACTGACATTTATATTAATACATGTATTTAAAAGAAAACACTATACAATTCTATCTGGAACAAATGAATTCCTACTTTATAGTATACATAACAATAAGTTGTAGATGGAAAATAAAACTTTAAAATTTTAGAGGAAAGTATAGGGTGGTATGCTCATGATCTTGGAGTAAGGAAGGATTTAAAAAAATCCTTTAATTTTAAAGGAAAATTTAACTTCTTGTTAAGATACAAGAAGTACAGATCATAAAGGAAAACTTGATTTTATTTTAAAGACAGAACCGTTCAGTATATTGAAAGACATAAACAAATGAAAAAATAAGCCACATGGTCCCACTATTTTGGGATTATGTTACAATTCACATGCATACCCTGCAACCCAGGGAGTCTACCCCTATTCATATGGTCTGGAGAAATTTGCACTTGTGAAGCAGGAGCCATATATAAGAACGTTTATTGCATTTTTTAATATCAAGAAACTGGAAATAACCCTGTGTCAGAACCCCATTGACAGGAAAGTGGTTACATTTTGGGATAGAATATTTTACAGCAGTGAAAATGAATGAATTATAGCTACATGTGACATCATGGATCAATTTTAGGAGCAAAACATGGAGAAGAAAAATCAAACAGCAGAAGACTGATGTAATGTGATACCATTTTTACAAAGCCCCAGAATAAAACCAAGATCTCATTTAGAGGGAGATGTGGGGCAAAATTAAATTTCTTTTTAAAAGCAGAGGAATGATAACAAAATTGAACCATAGGGGTTAGGAGAGGTAAGAGGACGGAATGGACAGGAGTACATGTTTAGTTCTAATGACATTGGTAATAATTCATTTCTTCAGTTGAACTCGTGGTTATTCATTTTTATTATTATGCTTCATAATTTGATAATTACACACTTTTTGGTATGTAACAAATATTACATCACTTAAAGGTCATAATAAAAATGATAATCCTCACACTGGGATAAGTTATTTCCAATATGTAAAACTATAAAGAATTAATGTCCTGGATTCATAGAGAATTCCTACGAACCAATTAAAAAAAAAAAAAAAGATAATGCAACTGAAAAACGAGTGGGCAAAGGATCTAAATGGGAATTCAGAGAAAAAAGACCTGAATGGCTTATTAGTAAATGAATATATAGTCAACCTTACTAGAAATAAAGGAAATACAAATTAAAACATCCCATTTCATATTCATCAGATTGGCAAAAATTTAAGAGTCTGTCAGAGCCAAGTGTTGGTGAGATCTGAAACATCAGGAACTCATCCCCCCTGGGGGTGTTGCAATAGGTAATAACCACTTTGGAGGACAGTTGGAAGATGTCTAGTTAAATTAGAAGATGTTTGTAATGCAAGACCCAGTGATACTCCTCCTTTAGAGAAATTCTTGCTCTAGTGCCCAGGAGGTGTCACAGGAATGTTTATTCGGGTGTTGTCATAGTGAAACATTGGAAGCAACAGAAGAATGGATAAAAAAAACACTGTGACATTTGTATAACAGAATACATTTGCAGTAGTGAAATGGGTGAATCAGAGCTACATGAATAAATCTTAAAATCATAATGTTAAGTTAAAACAAGTTGTAGCATTGTAGACTAATGAAGTGCCAAAGGAAACCCTTTATTAAAAGTTGAAATATTCAGGAGATAATATTATGTTATTTATGCAAATATGCATATAAGCATGGCACAGCAACTTCAGAGTGGTTTTGACTTCAGTAGGGGAGGAGGGAAGGGCTATCTGGTATTAATCGTTTCTATAGTTTTATGTCTTTAAAAAAAACAATTGATCTGAGACAAATATGGCAGATTATTAACTTCTCTTTAATATGGGCAGTAGGTGTTGTGTGTTGTGTTGTCTGTTGTTTTTTTTTCTGTATCTTTGCAGTATTCCATAATAAATATTTTCAAAAGACAACACATGTTATTTTCTATCTTAGAAGTTCTGTAATGTTAAAAGCACTTAGATTAGAGCCTTCTATGTGGTAAATCCTCAAATGCTGAGCACACTGGAAGGCTTTGAGTGCACATCCCCCTAGTATCATAGTCCTCATGAGAGTAGATTACTTGAGTTTAGAAAATATTCCCGTAAGAACTATTTACATAAATGAATATGTTTGGTAAATGGACATAAATCTTTAATCTGTAGGATACGACTACCTTGTAATAATAAAGCTTCCCTTTATTTAGGTTTTATCAAATTAAGGAATATTTAGTATAGAAAGAGGGATGATTTAGACAAGGTATTTCATTTTCAAACTGGCCTCTGCCACTTAACTAGTTCTCAGCCTATGAACAAAGCTGTTTTGGGCATCAGATTTTTTTTTTTTATCTGCTAATAAAGTCCTTTGCTGACTTGTGCCAGGACTACATAGGCTCAGAAGCATGTAAGAAATATGGAGCCTCGCACTCACTGGGTGCTCAGTCAGTCACAGTGCTGGTTGTTGAGATGGGTACCTTTGTCCTGATCGACCATGGGCTTTGGGTGTATTTAGGAAGGGTCTCTTGCCTTGCTGACAAAGCTTTATCGTTCATTTTGGAAGTGCTCTGGCAAATCAGACTTGCCATTGGGCTACTGGGGCCATCCATTCTGCTTGGTTAGTTTGTGGGTCCCCGTAGGTGGTGCTTGAAACTTTCTGTCTCTAGAACAGAACTCTGAGCACCGTCCTGGCTGTGCCCCCCCCCCCCCCCCCCACTCCCTGATGTATGGTACATGTTTCAGGCCTTCTCCACAGTAGGCACTCCCGACTACATTGCTCCTGAGGTGTTCATGCAGACCGGGTACAACAAGCTCTGTGATTGGTGGTCGCTTGGGGTGATCATGTATGAGATGCTCATCGGTAAGTTGCATGCTTTCAGAGGACATTTTGGTGCAACCAGAAGAGAGTCCCGTATTGATAATAGATGATTTCAGTTGAGGGTGGTCTAAGCACTTTTCTCCTCGTGTCTTTCAATGTGAATTTTCCTAAGCAGAAAGCTCTTGGCCATCAAAGAGCCAACTATGTTCTCTGGCCTCCTGCATCCTGTGGTTGCTTTGCTGATCATTTATCCTGTTCTTCCCCTATTTCATCCTCTCCTTCTAGCAGCTCTTTCAGTCACTTAAATATTCATTATATGCAGAGAGCTTTAATTGGGCATTGCCTCACATACTCTTCACTTCTTTGCTGTCCCCTTCCTCTCTCTAAGCCTTCAAAGCATGGACCCCTCTGATCTCTCTCCCTCTCCCTCTAATTTGGATGATGTGTCTGTGTATTTAGAGGACGCTCCAGGGGTGGGTGGCCATATTCCCGAGAGCACTAGGAGAGTAAATATGTCCATGGCAGTACCGAGTGCATGAGTCTGTGGATGACTAGAATGGTTTCTGGCTGTGTTGTCTTCCGGAACATCGGGTGGATGCCTGTGGAAGCGCATGAGATCTGTGTGGAGGGCATGTGGAGTAATGTGGTATGAGAGTACTTATCTCCTTATCTGTAGTTCTCAAAAAGAGGCATGGTAGTCACCTTTAAAACCTAGGCTTTTTTCTTATTCAGCTTGTTTGGCACTTTACTCATATAGGGATATTCCTGGAACAGAGTCATTTTTCAATGATGTTGTTTCATCTTTTCATTTCTTCTTTGGGCGTGGTGATTTCCACCTGTGCAACGCTTTGTATGTCCTCCTTTCTTTTCCCGGCTTCAGCTGTTAGCTGCTTCTCTTGTGGTACCAGAAGCACAAATTCACTTTGGGCTTAGAAGTTTGGGGGGAAATAAAAAATCAGTTTAGATGTTTTCTGGAATGAGTGGAAGTCCTGTGCATGTCATGGAGGGTTAAAGATAAAATCATATTAAGGGGAGTACTCTCAGATTCAAAGTTCTGGGGGTAAAAGCTCCGAAGTGCCTCTCTTATTACAGGGTACCCACCTTTCTGTTCTGAGACCCCCCAAGAGACCTATAAGAAGGTGATGAACTGGAAAGAAACTCTGACTTTTCCTCCAGAAGTTCCTATCTCTGAGAAAGCCAAGGACCTTATTTTGAGGTATTAGAGAACATCTCCCCCGCCTTTCACCCAGGTTTTTTGACATGCCAAAATTCATTTTTTTTTTAACTTAAATTATTACCTGGATCTGCCCCCTGCTGTCTCCCATTCCTCTGTTTAGGAAAGAGGGGGGGAGGTTATTCCATATCTTCTTCTAAAGAGACTACTTGAGTTTTGCTGAAAGGCCTCTGTCTTTTCCAGATTCTGCTCTGAGTGGGAACATAGAATTGGAGCCCCTGGAGTTGAGGAAATCAAAAGTAATTCTTTTTTTGAAGGCGTTGACTGGGAACATATCAGGTATATCCACATAAAGGCTTTCAGGATTATTTCCGAAAGGGTGTAATTTGCTTACCACTAATATAGAGGCCCCAGTATTGGCAAGCCAGGTAAGGGAAGAGTGCTTCGGAGGCAGCGTCCTTTCTTGATTTTCATTCTTGGCGGGGCTCAGGAGTCAGGGCTTGCTGTCGGCCATGTGCCCGGGGACATGGGGAAGCCAGCAGTTATTTCCAAAGTGAAGGGACATTTGAGTTCCGTGGTGAAGACAGCACTTTAAGCATGTTGCCCTTGCTCTTACCTAGAACACACCAACCTCTGTAGCGTCGGCCACCGGAGCCGGGGTAGGAAGGAAGGACCTGGCCCCGGTGTGGGCTGCGGGGTGTGGCCAGCGCGCCGCCTCTTGCCCCCGGCCCAGTGCTGCTTCCTCGGCATTCGGCAGTTCCCAAACAAGGTGGGGACGTTGTCCTCTCCTCATAATTGTGTTCTGTTTTGCACTTTCATAAGTTTTACCTTTACCTCCTTGTTGCCACATTTTTAGCCCTCTCCTTGTTAACACCTGTGGTGGAAGGTGAGAGCCCCGCGCGAGAGGGCACCCAGAGGTTTAGTTCCCCTTTTAACAACTGGGCAGGCCACAAGGGCAGTGCGTTAACCTCGGATTTGACTTTCTCCTCATGGGTTTTGTCTTTCTTCCCAGCTCTGGATAATTGTTAGTTATATTCTCTCATTTGGATGTGGCCAAGTGGCGTGGTCGCTTGGTGTCAGAAGCTCTTCAGAGAAAGGAAATGCTGCCTGCCAGTGGGGTGGTCTTCCCGTGTCAGGCCAGGGTTCTTTTTGGAGAAAAAATTAGCTGTGAGCCATGTGAGTACTAACTATAGTAATTTTTGGCATGTCTGTTCTTGGCAGAGAGAGACCTGCTGCAATATCTATTGAAATCAAAAGCATTGATGATACCTCAAACTTCGATGAATTTCCAGAATCTGATATTCTTAAGCCAACAGGTAACATCGCCAACACTGCCTCCTGCTGCATTATAGGCCCATTACTTCCTGCCAGTTTAGGGGTTGTATTCACAGGTCAGCTAGAGAACTTTAGTTCTTTGGGTTCTTTGTAAGTATTTTTCTAGTGCTAATGCTGGGTAGCAGTGACACCTTGTCGAATGGAGAATGAATACAAACTCCCATGCTCTCTTTCCTTATTTATTAATTTATTTTTTTAAGATCTTTAAAATTGATTTTAGAGAGTGAGCATGAGTGGGGGGAGGGGCAGGGGGAGAAGGAGAGAGAGGATCTCCAGCAGACTCTCCATTGGCTCTCGTGACCCTGAGATCATCACCTGAGCCAAAATCAAGAGCCCGGAGCATAACCAACTGAGCCACCCAAATGCCCCACGGACTCCCAGTGGAGTGGGTAAATCACAAAGGTTTGTTCTTTTTTTTTATTTATTAAAGGTTAGGTAATCTGAAATGACAGAAATGGGAAAATGGAACTTTTAAAATATTTGTGACAAATGGGAGATTCAAAGACCATAGACACGCAAATGTAGAAAATTTGCAGAGTGAAAAGCAGTTTTTCCCAAATACAAACTTTGCTATCTTCTTCAGAATGTCCTGTCCTCAGTACTGAGCAGTCCATCGGGGTAAGGCAGTGAATCAACTCTTACATCTATTTCTTTCCCAGTAGCTACAAGTAATCACCCTGAGACTGACTACAAGAACAAAGACTGGGTCTTCATCAATTACACATACAAGCGCTTTGAGGGCCTGACGGCTCGGGGGGCAATACCTTCCTACATGAAAGCAGCTAAATAGTGTCCTTGAAATAGAATCCTAAATGGAGCAGAGCTCTTTGTACAACGTTACGGTTTTCCTCTTACACATTCTTTGAAGAGTTTCCAAGAAGTTTATGGAACCCGCCAGTATGTCATGGTAAACTCTCCTGAAATGTGACAGTAAGTGGATTCTCTTCCATAAAGCATTGGAAACCTGCAGAACAAAGACAACCATTTCTACTGCGTCGGCCATAAACATCTGTACCGCTTCTTCAGAAGCCTCATGAGCCAATTTGATAAGAGTTCTTTTTTTTTTTTTTTTTTTTTTTTTTTTTTTTTTTTTTTTTTTTTTTTTTTTTTTTTTTAATTTTTTTTTTTTATTTATTTATGATAGGCACACAGTGAGAGAGAGAGAGGCAGAGACACAGGCAGAGGGAGAAGCAGGCTCCATGCACCGGGAGCCTGACGTGGGATTCGATCCCGGGTCTCCAGGATCGCGCCCTGGGCCAAAGGCAGGCGCTAAACCGCTGCGCCACCCAGGGATCCCTTGATAAGAGTTCTTAAAAAACTCGTTTTCCTAAGTTCATCAGAATGAAGGAGAAAAAAAAAACAGCCATCATCAAACATTATTAAGATTGTAACATACACTTAACTGAGTATCAGCCAATTTCTGTGATTTTTGTGACAGACCTGCTTTCTGCCAAGCCCACCAAGTATTTCTTTTTCCTTTACAGCTAAAAGTTCCATAGTACTAAGGAAACAAAGCAATAATGAAAGCCTCAGCAGCCAGCGTTCTGGCTGAAGGAAATGATCCACCATCCTCTGAGCAGGTGGTGAGGGTAGTATCTCCCATACCTCGGCCTCTGGTGAGTGGCTCCTCACAGCCTCCATTCATGGTGCACTTTATTTATGGTACTAGGATAAAGACCCTGAGTCCACTGATTTATCTCCTGCCCATCTAAAACACTCATGCTGCTTTTCTGAGTGTTGGTGGGGGATCCTAGCGTGATCCATCGTCGCTCTCAGAAGACCCAGAAGCCACTGGGCTTTGCCAAGGAGTCCCAGATCATGTGGAAAACCCTTACTGTCCCTTCATGGCTGGATCAAAAAATCCTTAAGATGGATGTTGTTGCGGACCAGCAGTAGCCACAAGTGCTGTCAGCAGGAACTCGGTTTGTTCCTGGGAACACAGCAGGGAGAGTCCAGGCAGAGGCAGGAGGCCTGGAACCCTCTTGGCCAAGGTGCTGTTCCTGCTTGGTCTCCAGAACCTCCTCTGAAGTGAAGGAGCCAGCCCAGTAGAAGGCGAAAGCTGGCCTACAGGGCCCTGTAAAGCTCGCTCCTCCTCAGTCCTTGGTGCAACTGTGTTTGGTGTCTCTCTCTCTCTCTCTGATATTTGTATTTGTCCTCTCCAATTTAAGTAACCATTTTGCCTTGGAATCATGATTACTGATTTTTCCTTTGCAGATGCCTTCCAGGGCAGGGCAGGGGCGGGTGCTTCTCTCCAACTTAAAGGGCAGCCTGCTGCTCAGGCTGACCAGTCCTCTCTGCTGTGGCACTCTCCCAAGAGACCCTCTGAATTTTAGCACAAAGTGCCTTTTCTTTCACACCTGCCACCACCTTAAGAGGAATTTTGTGGCATCAGAAAAATGTGGAGGTTCCATACTAATGCATTAAGATTTTTGATAACTCTGAAAGCATCATTTGCACCTCTGTGGTAATTTTGCCTATGGCAAAGCGTCATGGCCAAGCGACAACAGGGAGTCCGCTTTCTGCCAGTCTTGAGGTTAATTAAGATCGACTTGAAAGTATATCCTGGCTTAGCCATTGGGATAAAGAAAAATGGGATATCAGAGTTACAGTAGTAAATGAAACTGCTTTGAGTTTCAACGTCTTAGAGGAAGGAAAAAGAAAATAATAGGGAAGCATTAACTTTGGTTGAAGGTAATGTTTGCCCTTTAATCTTTCACTCATGGTCTGCTAGAGAAAAGGAAGTAAACGAGATTCTTTTGTGTAACTTTGTCATTTCGTTGTATTACCAAATAGCTGAGGTTTTGATCCCGAGGTGTTTTGCAAGTATGTTTGGTAAGCACGGTAAAGAGAAGTTAGCAGGAGTGGTGATAGTCTGTGTGTGGGGACTGCCAGGGGATGATTTGTTTTAGGGGAGGATGCCCATATTTTAAACTTCTGAATAAACTGTGTGAAACGGTGTGAATCTGATGTGTTTTAAAGCCAGCGTGGTTCATAACTGCAAGGGGCAGAGTGCTGTGGCTTCTTTTAGCCCGTTTATCTGCAGACCATTGGAACTATTCATCACCATGTTTAAGTAAAGCGCTCTTCTGTCTCAGGGAGGCTGGGGCCTGCTTTTTTGTTCCCCGAGGATGAGCCTTCTGAATTGGTTTGTATAAAGAGACCATCTTCTGTTGGCCCCATGCATGTGTTCTTTCTGCCTGGTTCAGGGCTGCGGGGCAGTGGGGCCTCCCCCTGCAGCAAGGCCAAGGGGACACCTGCTGACAAAAGTCCTGTTAGTTGTTGGACTTCCGTACAGCTGTTTACCCGCCTGGGGTCGACCAGGACCCTCACAGGCTCCTGGGATGGGACTTTGGCAGAGCCTTTTGGGCCCTTTGGGTCCACCTGCTGGGGCCCCACATCAGCCCCTTCTTCTGGGCTAGGGAAAGGAGCCTCAGAAAGAGGAAAGAAGAGTAAAGGCCATCCCGGGTCAGAACCGCAGGCAGAAGGAAGCTGAATGCAGCCAGAATGGCTGTTGTCTTTGCAAAACTTAGAGTTTCAGGAAACATGTTGGGAGCCGCTGGTTCAGCGTTGGTCCTCTTCACAGACAGTACTGCCCCTGCTCTCTTAGGGGGGAGTCAGGAAATAGGACTTGGACCGTACTGCATACTGAAGTGAAACAATGCTGATGTCATTCAGCCTCCTCTTGATTTGGGGCTACATCAGGATTTTCTTCGGTGCCTGTTTCTTTTTCTTTTTAAATTTTTTCAAAGTAGGCTCCACACCCAACACAGGGCTTGAACTACCGACTCTGAGGTCATGCGTCCCATGCTCTACCGGCTGAGCCAGCCAGGCACCCCCCCGCCCCCCCCCCCCACATTTCTTTTTAGAATTACTTTGAAAAGCTATGAATGAGTTCCTTCAGGATTAATATTCAGGCTCTGGATAGCAGGCTGCAATGTCAGAGCTCATGTATATGGCATAATAGGAATCCTCTGCCATCAACTGTTAATGCTTTTTCTCTGAATTGGTTCCTTGGGAGGTGTGTTTGGGTTTCACTCTTTCATGGGGCTCTATGTGGAACCCCACATGGTATTTTTTTCTTGAATTCAAAAAGGATTCAGTGAATGGTATTTCCCTTTCCTAGCTAGCATACATTTCCCTGGAATGATCTACGAAAGCCAGCACTGACTTGGAAACCACCTCCATGATGCTTTTCAGGTGTACTTTCAGGGAAGAGCATCTTGCCTAAATCACATGAAGCACCCATCATATACAGAGCACAGTACTGGGCACCCTGGGACGCACCCGGGGAGCCCCCTGTGGTCCTGAACTGCAGCGCAGTTGGAGAGTTCCCACCAAGTGGCCTAAGGGCACGCGGCACCAGCTGTGAAGTCCTGGCGGAGCAGTGCGATAGCTGACCTGGAGCTGTTGGGGGACCTGGTGGTGTTGGGGAGCTGAGGGAAGCTTCCCGGAGAGGTTTCTTTTAAGACTTATTTATTCCGGAGAGGTTTCTTAATAGCAGTGACTTGGCAGAGGCGTGGAGCTGTTACTTCCTCATTTCCCCGCTCCCACTTCACCTCATCTGACTTCCGTCCCTAGTGTGAAACATGTATTCATTATCCCAGGTATAAAACCTACTAGTTTTTGTTTTTATAGTCATTTCTCTGGTCATGGATGTCCTGTTATAGCCTTTTGCTTTCATTCAGTCCTCAGTAAGATTTATTTAAGAAGAGGGGGTAGGGGGTAAGAGGAGGGAGGCTGAGGGAGAAGCAGACTCCCCGCCGAGCAGGGAGCCCGCCTTGGGGCTCCATCCCAAGACCTTGGGATCATGACCTGAGCTACCCAGGCAGCCCTTCAGCCCTCCTTACTTGATCAACCTGTTGCATGCATACTGTTGACTTAAAAAACAAAACCAAAAGACTACTCTCATCCAACTTTCTTCGTGGTGGTTTCCTTGCCACTGACTGAAATGCTGAGGATCGTCTGAGCAATGCTTTTGCCCTCTTTTGACTCACGTGGTCTTGGTGATCTCCCCAACACCGGGGCTTCAGCACCCCTTTTTGTGGGGAGTTCCTCAAAGTGACCAACTTCCAGCCCCAGCCCTGGAACACTAGATCCCACGAAGCCAGGCGCCCGCTAGACACCGCAGTGTGGAAGGCCTCGTTCAGACTCACACTACTGCAGTCCAGACGGAACTCCTGTTGCTTCCCACTGGCCTTTTTGACTCCGCCTACTCAGCTGTCCAGCCAGAAACTTCTTTCCCGGCTCCGGTAAACACGCACAGCAGGGGCACAGCCATCCATCTTACTGGTGCCTTCATTTCTTGCTGAATCTACTGCTGTGGCCCCTTAGCTGACCTCTGTCCCTGGGCCTTCCCCCTTCAAGTCCACGGGCCTCGCTGCTGCCAAAGAAATTCAAGTCTGACCATGTCATTCTCCTGCATAAAACCCTTCAGGGCTTCCAATAGTTTATATGAACGAGACCAAACACCTTTTCTGAGGTAGAAGAGTCCTTCCTTCCTTACTCTGGCTTCATCTCTGCATCTCCCCAATTCCCTGATGATTATCTCACCTTTGCGTCTTTTCTCAAATAGTGGTGTTGGCCTGGAACACCTCCTGGCATGTTCACGGATCCAAAAACAACTCGTGTTTGTTCTTCACAATTTGGTTCACATAGCACTTGTAGAGCACTCTTGCAAACTCTCCTCATGGTGAAGAACTGGCTACTGCATGCTCTTGGGTTTTCTGGGTGACTTGGACTGTAGATAGAGGTTTTCCCCACACAAATCTAAAAATCCCTTGGAGAGGAACTGTCCTGGTCATTGTGTCCCTGTGGTCATATAGGACTTGGCACAGAATGTATTTAATAGGCCATGTCTACAGAGACGTTCTTAACCTCTTTGTTGATAAAGGCAGGCCTGCTGGGAGGTGTTAGTAGCACCCCTTGAAATTATTATCATCGATAAACTCCTAGGCTAAGGGAGCTGAGGAAACTCAGTAAGCACCAGACTGGAATCAGGCCAAGTCACAGAGACCAGAGGAGGAGCCCGCAGCTCTACAGCAGTGTTTTCCAGGGACCTGCTCTTCATTCCTGCTGCAGTTCCTCATTTGTTTGAAACCAGAACATCAAAGTCTGAGTCCTCTTACCTTCCAAATTTATATTTGGCTTTGTGGGGCCCTACTAAGTTCGACTGGAGGATTCAGGAGGGCTTGAATGCCAATGAACCAGGAACTCAAGAAGGCAGACTCTTAGGGTTCTGGAACCCGGGAGTGATTAATAGGTAAGAAGGGTGCACATTGGCTCAAAGTGACCCTGTGGCCTTGTAGGAAAGGAAGAGGCTCTGCTCTGGATAGTCGAGGTGCTGCTACTTCAGTCCCTCTTAATGTCCTGGCTTCCAATTTTATTTTCTGCTAAAAAACAACATGGACACAAATGATAATACTTTATTATAGAAAAAGCATCCCAAGTAATAGGATATCGTAAACACTGGTAGGTGAACAAGTGCAACTTTAAAAGTAAATACAAAGTAAAGAGGCAAAATCTACAAGCATTTTGCCTTTAAGAGAAAATGTAATGTTCTCCTGCAGAGGCAATCCCACCCAGAGCACAGTGTGGCTCCATCTCCCCCAGTGAAGCCATCAGGTTTGCTTTCTGAACTCGGTAAGAGTTCATTTTAACAATTTCAAAATAATGGCAAGAAGTGGCATTGAATAAATTACTAAAACCCCTGATTCTTAACCTTCTGTTCACACTTAATAAAAAAAGACTCTATGTCACACTCTGACAATTTGAGTTAAAGCCTGTGCTGATTGCTTCCTGCAAGTATATGTCTGGGCTTATTCTACAGTATTTTCAGAGACCTGTATACATTAGATGACATACTACTTTCTTCAAATTTAGCTTAAAATAATATATAGGCTATTATACATTGTGCAGTAAATTTACTTTCTAGCTTCCTTACCATTTTTGCTGGCATCTTTTCTATACTTTTCCTCCACTTGGGAGAAACCATGACGTCATCTCATGTTAACACTCTGCCCACTCTCCAGCTCAATGCCAAATGTTTCCTAATCAACGATGCATGATGATGATGCATTCACAAACTCAGATTCTAAACTCCAAGTTCAGGTTCCTCTTGGCTCGCTGAGCTACCTCTGAGTTAGACAGTCTGAGCAAAACCATCTTCATAAGAAGATGTATGAACAGCCTGGCTTCCTTATTTAGGCACTTAGAAAAAAAAAAACAAAAAACAAAAATCACCAAACCTGAGTTCCATCTTTATTAGAAATATCTCTTGCCGAACTGGCCAGTGGTGGACTCTGAAGGGAATGACTGCAACCCAGCCCTTGTCCCTGCAGCGACTGAATGGTCCTGCCATTAATGGAATGTCCTGGCCCTGGGAACAGAGCAGCCATGGCTAAGGGGAGCTACTAAATTACAATGATGCTGAGTTCCAGGTTGGGAGGGTGGTGGGTCCATAAGACACCTCCCTCTTCACCAGAAGGGAGCTTTAGGCCCCACTTTTCCCTTTGTCACCACTATCCAGTGACACCAGCAGATTTACCTGTATGGGTTTCAGGCTCACTCACCCTATGGATTGCGGCCAAAAGCACATTACCCACCTTTTGTGTGTGTGGGGCAGCTACTTCTTGAAAGCCTGAGGAAATGAGTCATTTACATAGAACAGAGCGCTACATACATGCCATACTTTCATACCTGGCTTTTTACCTAGGCAAAGACTAACTGGTTTTAGAGTGTCAGCTGCGGCATGTTCACACTTGAATGTTAATACAGAAGACGTAGAATGAAGTTATTACACTACACAGTTAATTCAGATTTCCTTTGTGATGGCATGGAAGGAAGTCAACTGAGAAGCAGAAAGGAAGCACCATTAAATGATTATCTGGGCTGGACAGCTATTGGTAGGAATGAAGTACTGGTAAGGTCAAAGCCAAACCAGACCTCAAACAAGAGTCAATGAGTTTCATAGACATAAAAGTCCCCTCTGGAAAAACAAAACAAAACAAAAAAGTCCCCTCTGGCTACAAAAAGACCTAATCTCAAATTGAACCATTACCATCAGCCTTACAAATTGGATGCCAGTGGTAGTCAGACCTACTATAGGTGGGAGATGGCTCAGTTTAACCACTTATTACTACTTTTTTCTGAGTAATGAACAGAGCATTGATTTCCACTGTGATGCTGCTCACATGTACAGAGAACACACTTCTTAACGTTCTTGTTCTTCAAGCCTTGGAAAGAGTAGCTTTTGACACCCATCTGACTTTATACCTTTGGAGGACTATGATTAGGGCAAACTGGAATCGACTAGTTTGCCTTATGGTGTCTTATGGGAATGGAATTTAAGAAAACTAGTCATGTTACCTTAAAGAACTTGAAGGAAACTATGTACCTCTGAAATGTGTGAGGACTACAGGCTCTGGGTAGGTGGCCAACCTTTACCACAAGATGGGAGATTAGCCCCAGACATTTAACGTCTGGCTCTAGACTCTAGATTTAGCTCTGCTGTTAACAGCCAAGGGGCCATGAGGGAAAATGGTTCAGTACCGGGGGGAGTGGTCTGGGTTGTCACACACCATGCCATACTAACCCAGAGCCAACAGATCAAACAAAATTACTGGGCCTAACATCCCTTCAACTCATCCTTCCTTTGGGGATGACGGTACTATGGTTTTCTAACCCAGTGTGAGCACTGTGATAGGCCACTTCAAAAACAAATATCCTGATATCCAAAAAAAATTCCATTGTATGAAAAGAATATATAAAGTAAAATCCGGCACTGGGGTAAAACCTGGGTAGGTGATGTTTCCCCACCCAGCTTCACCCCAAATGCCCCCTTCCCTGGAGCTCTTAGAAGTCTTTTCTGTTGAGAAACAGAGCACTTGTCAGAAGTTTCTGCCCATCTCTTGAAAGCCTTTAAGCCCATATCATCTAAGGTTTCCAAGCCACACTTACAGTAGTGCGCTGCCTACAGTGAAGACCTACAGCTTCTTCACATCAGATTCCAAGCCAGATAATTAAAGTGGCCTGATTCAAAAGATTCTTCTGGAGCTGTGAATTTGATTCCAAATGGTCATTCCAAATAATTCCTTTAGACTTGAACCTGACAAGGTTTCATAAACATTGTTACACTATTATAGTCAAAGAATCTGCCTTTGAGTTATTCACTGAATGAATGAAAAACAAAACTGAATTTAAACTCTTAAGAAATCCCCTTTGGACATTTTGATGAGAGCCTAGTTCTTCCCAGATGTGATCTGGGCACAGAGGCCACCAGGAGTGGCATTTTCATTGACCCCTAACAAGAATCCCATTAGTGCCAGCTTGTGGGAGCTAGAGATTGTCTCTTTTTAAGGTTTGGTCCCTTTGCTGCCAAGTAATTTGCCTGGTATAAAACAAACAAAAAAGCCAAGAACAAAGTATAAAGGATGAGAGGACTGCTTTGATGAATACGAAGCCACAAGAGTCTTGACTTTCTTTCCTGCTTTTTGCAGTTATGCGAAGACTCTGTAAACGGCACCAGATTTTTCAAGTTACCAGGGCTGCTGCAAAGTTGGTAGCTTAATTACCAGTCAGTGCTTTTTTATCCGCTGCCGGAGGCACAGACTTTTCAGTAATGAAAAGGACACACACTAACTGTGGGAAAAACGGAAAGGACGGAGAAGCAGGTCTCCTACTCAGGGTGAGACAAACCGTGGGAAGGGCTAGCTGTGGGCATCCAGTACAAAGAAGGGCTCCGAAGAGGCGTGGGTCCACAGCTGGCCCTAATCCTGAAAGTTGTTAGAAGCCATCTGAGAAAGTGGGGCATTCAGCCGGTCAAGTTCATCCACTTGGGGTGGGTGGTGCATTAATATCTCATGGTCCTCCAAGACATCTTCTCCAGCAGCTACCAGATTGGTGAGGGATTTGCTTCGGACACACTGGAAATCCACATGGCGACTCTTCCCTTCTTCCTTTTCCCAGGACATCTGAATAAAGGGGCGCTGCACATAGTTATAGATTACTTCAGACCGGCCACCAGGTCTCCTCTTAATTTTTTCTTTACAGGTAGGGTAACCTGAAACACAGAAGGCCATTCTCATGACTCCAGGAAATTGCTCACTCTAGATTCCACGCTTTCTCTTTGCCTAACCACAGTAATTTCCTCCCAAATTCAAAGACTGTGCATAAGAACTACTGGAGAAATGGGCAGCCCCGGTGGAACAGTGGTTTAGCGCTGCCTTCAGCCCGGAGCGTGATCCTGGAGACCCAGGATCGAGTCCCACATCGGGCTCCCTGCATGGAGCCTGCTTCTCCCTCTGCCTGTGTCTCTGCCTCTCTCTCTCTGTGTCTGTCGTGAATAAATAAATTAAAAATCTTAAAAAAAAAAAAAAAAAACTACTGGGGAAATGACCTCTGACCATGTCCTGCCACTCCCAACCCTCTGTGCTACACTCACCTCCTATCTATCCAGGTTAGCAGGTCTTATCCCTAGAAGGGAAGTAACAAAAATTCTATCCCCTCTAATGGCAGGGTGAGAAGAGCCTCTTAGTAATTTCAGAAGCCTGTACTCACTGGCAGCAATGCCAGAGAACAGAAATCCTGCTAGGCCATGGTGAACTCCAGTCTCTAATTCTAGTGCTTAGAGAGCACACTGTAGGAGGAGTAGTTTAAGGTATACATTACACACTTTCTTAAAGAAAAGACAGGGAAGTTGCCTGAAGTATCTGAAAGGCTATCACATGGAAATGGGAGTAGAAATCTTAGAGTAGCTTCAGAGATTAGAATTGGAAGACAGAAGAGAGAGGAAGTTATGTACTAGATATGCTGAAGAATGTTCTAGTGGTAGGACAGTATGACAGGCTGCTCTGGGAAATGGAGTAATCCTTATCACCCTGTTCCTGGGGTTTCTTGTGAAAAGGAGGGACCCAGTGAAAGGTTTAATAGACCTCAAAAATCTCTTCCCACCTGCAATTCCAACCTAAGTCAGACACAGTGAAGATCTGATATGTCTCAGTAGGCTAGACTGAGACAGCAAGAATAGTAAAACACAAGAGTCAAAGACTCACAGAGGGGAAACCAGCACAACTTCAGCGTACTCTAAGAGTCAGCGGCTAAGACCCTTTCATGGAGACCATAGGTTGGGAGCCACTGCTCAACATCATTTAAAACCATTCTATCGGGATCCCTGGGTGGCGCAGCGGTTTGGCACCTGCCTTTGGCCCAGGGTGCAATCCTGGAGACCCGGGATCGAATCCCACATCGGGCTCCCGGTGCATGGAGCCTGCTTCTCCCTCTGCCTATGTCTCTGCGCCTCTCTCTCTCCCTCTCTCTCTGTGACTATCATAAATAAATAAAAATTAAAAAAAAAAACCATTCTATCAATACAGAAATTCCTCAAAGGTATGTAGTGGAATAAATTCAAATTATAAGTCTCTAGGCTATAGTTTTCAGAAGGACCCTTCCAGATTCCAAAAGGATCCTTAGCACTTGGTGAGCCCCTGGGGCTCTGCTCCATTCACCCAGTAGTGTCCCTAGCCCTTACTGCTCTTTATCCCAAAGCAGTATGCTGGGACTTATTCCTCCAGCTGTTTTAAAGCATTTACAACTGGAAATAAAATGGAAAGGAAATGTAAGGGTGAACAAATGCAGAACCAGGAATCCTTTCAACAGGTAGGAATGTAGTTCTCACAGGTGTCTATTCTCTAGGTCCTCTGGAAGCCAAGTTTGAAGGACATAAGCGGTGCCCAGAGATACAGCCTATTCCAGAAGCCATGCAAACTGAATACTAACTGGGATATTTATTACCTTCAATTCCAATGCGAATATTTTTCAGGCCTCTCTCCTTTAACACTGTTTTAGCAACATCACGGTTCTCAATATATTTGAAGAATCTATAGAGCTTGGAGCTATAAAGAACTGGAAAAAGAAAAATTGAGTTAGTCATGGAATGAAGACTTCTGAAAAAGGAGGGAGATGAGCTAACAGAATCAGTCTAATGAAAGGTATACCTGACCCTGATGCCAAAAAAAAATCCAGGTAGATCACAGATTAAATGTTAAGCAATAGATCAAACATAAGAAAGAAACCACCTGAGAAATTTTTATAGTCTCAGGGTGGGGAAGTCTTTTCTGGGTATGACCTAAAACCCAGAAGCCATAAAATAAAAATTAATGCATTTAAAATAAAAATTAATACATTCAGCTACCTAGAAATGCAACATTTCTGCTTAGCTAAAACCACTTTTAATAAAGCTAAAAACAAATAGTCAACTGGGAAAAATATCTGCAGCTAACATTACAAAGGGCTAATTTCCTTAATATATATACAAAGAGAGAGCCTTCACAAATCACTAAGCAAAAGACAATCCAATTCTGTAATAGGCAAAAGGCAAAATAAAGTTACAGAAAAGGAAATTAAAATGGTTTCTTAAAAATTAAAAAGATGGTAAATCTTGATTGTGGAATGCGAAATGCAAATTTAAGTGTAAATGCAACGCTATTTTTTATCTGAGTGGCAATGATAAAAGTTTAGTAAAACATTGTTTTGGTGAGGGAACAAACCTGTCATGTTGCTTTGTGAGTGTAATATGGAGGAGAATCTGGCCACATTTATCAAATTATAAAGGAACATGGCTTTGGCACAGAAATTCCATTTCTAGGAATATTGTTCTATAGAATTATACATATGAAGAGACTGTGTTTAAAAGGAAATTTATTGCAGCATCATTTATAATTTGTAGCTTAAAAGCCCAGCAACAGAACCAGTTAAATCAACTATGGCACAGTCATACGGTGGAATAGTATATAGCCATTAAAAAGATCGTGGAAGCTTTTTATGTAAGACATGGTGTTGAACAGTCCATAGAATATGGTAGCATTTGAAAAAAAGGGAAAAACATGGACATAATTGCTTATGTGTGTGCACTGAATACATCTGAAGGGTATAAAAGAAACTGAGATGAGGCAGGGGTAGGATCAAGACTTTTCAATGTATATCCAACCTTTTGTACTTTTTGAATTATTACCAATTCAAAAGGATTTAAAAATAAGACCAACGGAGAGAAGAGGGACACCACCATTTAATAGGCTCCGTATCACCACAGTATCCGACACCGGGTGCAGCAGTCGGAGTTGTAGACGCTCAGCATAAACGTTAGCCCTGCATCAGTCACTACACTGCACTCATCATCCAGGTGAGTGTGCTCACTGCCAGCTCAATAAGTGATATTCGCACTGCTTCTAGGATCTAGCTGCTACTCTGGGCAGCATGTTTCTTGCAGAAAACATGTACACCATGCAGGGGGCTCCTACTTTGGGAATATTCCTCCCCCATGGGAGGAGGGTGGTCTTCATCCCAGTCCACAGAATCCTCATCTGTTAGCACAACGATGTGGCACTCTCGCTCCCCTTTCTTGGCACAGCCCACCATGATGGGCAAGATCAATTCTTCAAGGTAGTGGTCAAACTGCTTGTGAGCACCATCATTAGACAATTCATGCAGTAAAGCACCTGGGGAGAGAAACTATAGGTGAATATCCTCTCTGCCCAAATGCAGATATTACTGGAGCAAAAAGACTATGAGGTAATGGCTGTTATTACTGAGAAGTTCCAGAGAGGTTACCCATTAAAGGCAGAAACTGTTTCTTGCTCCATGATGCTAATTAAGCTGATTTTGCTAGATGGGTCTCACATTTTACCACTCTTTAACTTCCTCATGTTTATTTATTTTATTAGAGAGAGAGGGAGGGAGGGGTGTGGGGTGGAAGGAGAGAGAGAATCCCAAGCAGGTTCCACCGCCCAACATGCCCAGCATGGAGCTGATGCAGGCCTCAATCCCACAACCCGGAGGATCAAGATGTGAGCAAAAACCAAGAGTTGGATGCTTAATCAACTGAGCCACCCAAGCACCCCCCTCACGTTTAATAATCCCTGAGCATTCTGACCAACTGAGGTTTTGTTAGCTATACAATGTCAGACCACACACATTAATAATACCAGAGACAGAACTACCATTTGTAGTACCCGTTCTGAAGATGCTCTGGACCCCAATTTCATGGATTTACAGTACCACAAAGAGGAATCATCTGAAGTTTGAGGACACCAAGGGATTTGCTCTAAGTGTGAGCTAGACCCAGTAGAGAAACCACAAGTCTAGAGAACTTCAAGGAATATGCAGGGAAATGTATTGTGAACCTTACTTATTTTAAAAATAATTTCAGGAAGCCTAGGTGATAATAAGAGAATGGTGTTTGTAGTCAGACAATCAGTTCTAATCCCAGCTTTAACGCTTACAGCTTTGAACAAGCTAATTTCTCGGTCTTCTCATTTGTTAAATGGGGTTATCGCCCACCCTGCAGGGCTCACTGTTTTAAGAATGAAGCAAGTTCACATCTAGAAAGGACTTAGTACACACGAAGTTAATAATAATGGTAAAAATAATTAGAAGAACCCAGCCAGTGTATGTTGTTTGACTCTATGGGGGAGAGAATCAGGGGACCTGGAGACTAATGTCCAAGAATCAGTATCACTATTTATTAGTTGAGACACCAAGGTTCAAAGAGGAGAAGTAGTTAGCTCGGTGCCTTGCTGGACAAGCTAGATTCAGAACCCACCACACGTTCTGGTTTGTTTACTCCACACTTCCTCACAGTGCTCTGAAGCAGGAAGAGGGAACAAGTTAGTATCACGTCTCTGCCTCTGCAGAGATTTTCAACCATGCTTGAAACTCTGTTTAGTGATCAAAAATAGCAGTTGATTCCAAGCAAACTCAAAGTTCAGTGGCTCAAATGCAGCTGGGAGCTGCTCCTGTACTCACTCAAATCTTGACATCGGATAGTGTTGAAGTCAAAGTTAATGCAGAGATAATCACATGTATCTCTAAGGTCTGGAATCGAGATGCCATCAGGACAATTGATGATACCAGTTTTGTAATAATCCTGTAAACAGATTAAAAAGAAATGTAGGCAAAGAACGAGACGAAGAATGACCTCTTCAACCCTCTATTCATTCCTGGTTCTGTTAAAATGACAGGTTACTAGAACTATCACCAAGTTGGCTGACTTGTCAGCTGGCAAAGTAGCCCCTGGTCTCTCCTGGCATGCTTAACCACAACCTGGTACCTGACTGAGCTTGCACAAGCAAGAAGTACCTAAAAGTTACAGGAATGGAAAACAGAGGGAAGGGCACCTGGGTGGCTCAGTTGGTTAAGCGTCTTGCTTTTGCCTCAGGTCATGATCTCCAGGTTCTGGGACAGAGGCCCAAGTCAGGCTCCCTGCTCAGGGGGATTTTGCTTCTCCCTCTCCCCCTTCCCCCTGTTTATGCTCTCCTTCTCAAATAAATATTTGAAAAAAGAAAGATAAACTAATTAAAAAAAGAAAATGGAAAGGAAACTGGGAACCAGAGACTCTAAAGTCAGTAACAATTTGATGGAACTCTGAAGGCTTCTGACTATGCTTGCGTCTGGGGAAGAGGATGTCAGGAAGAGGCTCCTACACACCAGCACTGTTCGAAATACGGTAGCACTGATTCCTTCCGCGATCTCATACTCTCCCTTCTCATTGGGCCGAGTGAAGTTGTACTCTCTTCCTGGTCCAAACATTCTGAAAGACATCAGGCAACTATGTTAACCTTCTCTAGTTCAAGGGATTCTTCACACATGAGAACTGCTCCCATCTTCATTCTGGAAGACTCCATTCCATGTTCTCATAGTATAAATTAAAAAAAACAGCAATGGGACCCAACCCCTTTGAAGAAGCTCCCTCCAGGTGGTAGCAATTGCTTTCAACATTAGAATCCAAGCAGAGATGAAGCAGCAAGTCCTCAAGAAACACCTGTGGTAAGCGTCTGTGACAGTGAATGAAATAAAGCGGCATCTGCAGAGTTAGCCCCTGGAAAATCTCTGGCGTGTGTGAGGGTTGCTTCCCACATGCTCCCCACCGCCCAGGAACCTGCCTGTGTGTCGGCAGCTCAGGAAGACCGCGTGTCTCGTGCTCCTGACCCTTCCTGGTCCTTTCTGCCCCCCTGTTACCGTTACTTATCCAGTATGCCAATTCTCAGTAGTTCTGAGTTTTGCTTTTCAACACCTGTGTGACAGATGTATCTGCACTGGTGGGTGCACATGTTACTGTTCTCCCTCTCCTGGTACCTTTTAATACTGGGCTCTGGGAAAATGTCCTCCTTCAACCCAAGGAGTAACCCTAATGATGGGAACTTCAGGTCAAGTAGACAGGGACGGGAGGTGTTAGGCTCATCAGTGGTCTGCCATAGGTTAGAGAGGCAAGCCTGCTCTGTGGATGAACTCAGAGGTCATGAGGGTACAGGGAGATCTTACTTTTTCTTACTCATCTTTTCCCATGCTTCCTCCCTTCTCTCAGATCCCGTCCAGTACAACTGGCCCCATGACTTCTACCACTCAGATTACATTTCTGAGCTGTGGAGTGGGAAAACAGTGTGAGGGAGGGACAAGGCAGGCAGGCAGGATCTTTGACCAGCCTGATTTAAGTTCCTAATGGGGCCTCACTGCCATATCCTTCCTTCACCTGCTGGGAGTCCTGCTGTTCAATGTTAAAACTGTTACCCTCCACCCTAAATTGGCTGCTTTTCAGAGTTCTGAAAAAGACTCCAAATCACATGCTTTCCAAACCACGAACACCATATATAAGAAATCCATCCTGATAAGTGTCTTCAAAGAATGCTGACATTTTTCTGGAACATTCTGGTTGAAGTCTAGCCAAGACAGTTATGAATCAAAATAGTGAACACGGACAGCCTGGGTGGCTCAGTGGTTTAGCGCCGCCTTCGGCCCAGGGTATGATACTGGCGACCCAGGATCGAGTCCCACGTCAGGCTCCCTGCATGGAGCCTGTGTCTCTGCTTCTCTCTCATGAATAAATAAATAAAATGAAAACAAAAAAACCAGTATAGTGAACACATGCCATGTAACCAGTCCCCCCAACTATCATCAGCAAGACCTAAGCTCGAAGTTATTTATCTGGTAGTGGCATCGGTTAACATAAATCCATTTGCAATCTCTCAGCTTGTCCATCTTGTGACCAGTGGCCCATATTTGTACTCACTGCCTAGGCTTATGAACACTGTATGTAACCTCAGGACAGAGCAACCTAAGTATCTCTCAGAACTGATAACCTCAGCTGATGAACCACCTAGACAAAGAATCAGACTCTCTTGCCATGGGACAACTCATAACCAGATTCAAAGAGTGTCACTCAAGAATCTATTAATCTATCACTCAGAAAATGCTTGCCTTCCTTCTTGCAATTGCTACCTTCAGGGGCAATCTATCTCAAAGAGCCAGTCAGCACTGAGGGAACAGTTTCAGGGGGTGGGGATGGGGGGGCAGCGTAATAGTGGTAGTGACACCAAACCTGAGGACAGGAAGTCAAGTCTGATAAAATATAGGGCCAATTTGGAAAATGTTTTAATGTTCTAGTTTAGTCTTACTTTAGATGTTTGAGAAATATACAGGTTTGGTTCTGGTTAAAAATGGTTCTTCATGAATCTGTATGTGTATGTTCAAATATAAATATATTTGAATAGCTAGATTCCATTGATCCTAAAATTCAACAAATGAGTGTGGTCCATTCTGATTTCTAAATCAGTTCAAATTAGTTCAAGGTCCTGAGTGAAGTTAGATCTTTAAATAAGATCTACTTCCAAGGAGATGAAAGTCCTCACAAGTCAAATGTTTGTGTGTATATACACACAGATTATTATTATTTTTACTCTTATCCCAACTTGCTATTCCTCATGTCAAGGTCTGTGGTTGGTCAGAAAGAGAACTTCCTAATTCTCTGCCCAGGCTCCCAAGAATACTTTCTGGCCAGTACTCCTGCCTGGCAGGCTCTGCCTGTATTTCCTAAACTCTAACTCTAAAATGCTGGAGGCAGGAGATGGTGAGGAGAGTTAAGACTATGGTCTAAATGAAGCAGCACAGAGAATGGAATATGAAGAAAAGAAAGAAATCATGAAACACTAAAACAGCCAGATACAAAGATTTTGTTTGGGAAAACTTGGAATAGTGATGGAGGCATTAGAAAATGACAGCATGACACCTACTGCCAAGCCTGACGGATGGCAGGCAAATGTTTTTCTGTAAAATGGCTTTGCTGTTGTGTCATGTGAAACACGTGTCTAATTCTATTTGTTTATTGAAAGACTAAAGAAAAAAAACAAACACGACTTAGATCTCACCTAATCCTGTCTTTGACCTGTGGAACTCAGACAAGATTACTTTTGAGAGTATACAAATTATGGATAATAGAAATTAGGTATCTGACTTCTGTTTTAGACTGAGTTTATAGAGAAATTGGGAGGGATATTCAGCAGATTACTTTCCACAGTTCTAACTGACTACACTCCCTTCTGCAGAGGCTCAAAGCTGTACTGGCTTTGTAAATAAGTACCTTCCCTAAATCATCAACACATATAAGGCTTTTTATAAGCTTGCCATCCCTATTTCACAAAAGTATGAAGGTAGAAAAATAAGCAATGCAGTGCTTCTTTTCCTCACATCTAGTGCAAGATTAACAGGTACTTCTATTCATAGAGAACAGAGTGAATTTGGAAGGAAATTATTGTCAATTACCTTCCCAACATGGTATCCGGATGAGCAGTGAAAATTTGTGGATTCACAACAAAACGTGTGCCATCTACAAGAAGTGTCACTTTCTCTGGCGCCTGGGAATGAACGTTACTGCCAAAGCCCACAGTGCTGTTTCCAAATCGTTCTGGAGCCATAAAGGGTTCATGGTTCCGTTTATTCCCATTTTGGAAGCAGGAGCCTTTGACGTCTTCGGGAAGTGGCATTATGTGAGGGAACTGAAGATTTGCTGGCTGAGAGGCATAGTCAAGTGAAAGGTCTAAAAGATCATACAAACAAACCAAAATAACTTGACAGCAAAAAAGGCTTGGGGGAAAAAGAAACTTCATGTCTTTAAAAAACAACAAAAAACCCCCCAAACTTTTAGGTGTTTGCAGGCCAAAAACAAAAACAAAAAACCCAAAAAACCTCTTGCCTTGAACAAGTAAAGGAAAAATAAGCTAGAGACTCATATTGGACCCCTCTGAGCTTTTTTCCCACGTTTATATTTTGGAGAGGAGAGAAGGCAGGCAATAATGCCCACACTTTAAAATGTTTTAAAAATTTTAAAGTAAACTATGTGTATGGCTTAAAAAAATTTAAACACTAGAGAATTCTTGTGGCCAACCAGCAAGGCCCTGCCACACTCCAAGCCCTCCCCTGGACTTGTTCACAGAGGCAGTCACTTTTTACTTCTGTTTCCACTTCTGGCTCTAAATAATACTCTTGTACTTTTTATGATTTATTTAAGGAAACTGCTACCTGTGTGTGCAAAAACTCCATTTTTCACATTCTTCAAAAATTTCTAAATGTTTCTAAATTTTATTTCCTAAAAGGGATGACAGTTGTTGCATTACTTTTTCTAGAAATTCCCATAAAAATGCATTGTCACTATGCACTGGAGAATCCTAACACCACAATACCTTTTTTGAAAGAGGTTCAAAATGAGGTTAGGTTTGCCCTCAACAGAAAAGTTGCAATGCGGGATCCCTGGGTGGCGCAGCGGTTTAGCGCCTGCCTTTGGCCCAGGGCGCGATCCTGGAGACCCGGGATCGAATCCCACGTCAGGCTCCCGGTGCATGGAGCCTGCTTCTCCCTCTGCCTGTGTCTCTGCCTCTCTCTCTCTCTCTCTCTCTCTGACTATCATAAAGAAATAAAAATAAAAAAAAAATAAAAAAGAAAAAAAAAAAGAAAAGTTCCAATGCTGGTGGCCTTGAGTTAGGATTCCTTCACAGAACCTGTTTTTGTCTTGGTATCACCAAGCAGCCATTTGCTTTAAGCAGTTTATTTAATTTTCTAAACCTGGTTCATTTTTTAAAAAATAAGAATCATGTTCACTCCACCTCCCTCACAGGATTATTCTATCAGCTGAAATAAAGTATTGTGAGAGATTTCCAAGTGTGCTAATACCATATCATGCAAAAAAAGAAAAAAAAAGGCTTTTAACTAAATATCTGAAATTGGGATGCATGCAGTAGACAATTAGGGGGAAATATTTATAAAATGATTACTATAGGATTCTTTTAAATTGGCAGTTGTCCTAATATATTTTACTTTAATGTAAAAAAAAAAGTCTGTTATTTTAATGTAAAAAAATCTTTTTATGAAAAATTTCAAACATACCAAGGTTATTAACACAATGTGTAATATGCATATCCTGTCACCTAGATTTGACAAGCTTAACACTTTTCTACATTTTCTTCAAATCTTTTTTTTTTAAGAGTAAAAGGTTAGAAATACAACTGAATGTCTCACTCCCATCCCTCACATATTTTAAGTTTGTATACAATATTTTATGAACATGATCACTGCTCATGACTTCTGGGAAATCAGTCTGATTTCGGACCCTTAGATAACCAAAAAAAACTGTGAGCTAGCATACACACACTTTTCTTCTCCATTCGCTTTTCAAGAAAAAAAAAAACCCAAAATCTAGACCAAAGACCTATTGACTTTTGACAAATTTTCAGTGTGGCCCTGTGTTTGCACACCAACAGTTAAATTTCCACACGGTCCACAAGCAAGCTAGAAAGCAAGAAACACTTTAATCACTAAGATGGGCTTTTGAATTCAAAGTGCTGTTCTAAAAAATGAAAGTAAATACCTATGTCACAAATTCAGGATGCCTGACCCCGCCTGCCCACCAAGGAAGCAGTTCAGGTGGCCTGATTCCTGAAGGGTGCAAGTCCCACCGGGACTCAGTGCATAAACTCTCCCTAATGGCACCCTCTAGGATGGCAGGCACACCATACCCTGCTCCTCTGCCAGCGGATGCATCTAGAACGCTTCTAGCACTCTCTGCTTCTCTAGCAGAGCCTGGTCAGAAAGACACATGTTTAAATGGTGGCTGCCCACCTCCTACCGGTGTGGGCCTGGGCACGTTCTGTAAGCTTCTGAAGCTTCTGTTTCCTCATCTGCACAAGGAGGATGAATCTAAGCAGGGAACAGCACACTTTCTATAAGGGACCAGAAAGCTTTGCCGGTCAATCTCTGCCACTGCAGGAAAGCAGCCAAAGACCGTGTGTCAACAAACGGGCATGATGGCTGCATTTTTTAACTTTATGCACAAAAACAGGTGGTGGTTTAGATTTGGCCACAGTTTGCCACCCTTTATCTAAAAACATGTATGTAAAGTTCCTAGCACGGTGAACGCTCAATAAACAGTAACTCAGTAACTGTTATTATTAGTGTTGCCACTGCCTTTTAAAGTTAAGAAGAACCTGACAGTTTACCAAGAGCTTGCACATCCATGAACTCCAAAGTCTTCCAGTCTCATGAAGTAAGAATAATATTAATATCCCTGTTTTCTAGATTAAGAAAGCAGGACTCAGAAAGATTAAGGAGCTCATCCATGGTTATAGGTGATTAGTAGCAGAGCTAGAATTTGCATCTGTCTTCTGACTGCAGACCCAGGACTATTTTTCTTATACTGTTGTTGCTGAGTTGGGTGTGCTGTACTGATTAAGTAAGCAGGGATTTTTGGTGACAGCTTTATGTAACAGTGATATGTGAGCTAAGCCAATTAGCTGGGGATTTTTTTTTTATATGCCTTCTGGGTAGAGTGAATGCTCGAGTGTCAGAAAGCCCTCCCAAGTAAGTCAAGCTCTAACCCTCGTACCATCACTCCTGGGACCTGGAGGGTAAGTGAGGTTCTGAAGAGCAGCAGCAGCCAAGCTGTTTGTTTCTCTTTCTGGCGCTGGGGCTGTGGGCCCATCAGTTGGGCAGCTCGCTTCCTGCCACAGCCCTCTGTCACTCTCACTGCCGCGATGAACGTTCATGCTTGGATTCAGAATCCTGAACTGTCTGCTTGACCAGAAAAAAAAAAGCCTGGAAGACAGGAATATGCATGATCTAGAACATTCTCCAAACACGTTCCCAAGGAACTCCAAGGTATGAAAGGCAAGCTGGAGAACTCACAGATGCCTCGCATTCTTGCTCTGAAAAGAAATGACATCTTAAACGTTCCTGTGATTTTATACTGGGAGGAACTGCGTTTATTGAAATGGTCTTTACCAAACCACTGACAATGTAAAAACATTGACCACCTTGTTACTTGAGAATAATTTTAAGCTGTATCCAAAAAGAGACCTCAAATCCACAATTCTTGCTGCAGTCATGATCAGTTCTACAAATTAAATGGTAGTGCAATAATTTGGTGGTGTTTAGATCACAGACACAAAAGAGGGCAAGAATCCAACTGGTCAAAGAAAACCTGCCCATGTATTAAAAATAATCTAGGCACATATGCTCCTCTAACAAGCATTAGGAAATGCAAACTATCAAGCACTGTAAGGCTCATCCAAGAGTTGGAACAAGAAGTCATCTGCCCTCAAATAAGCAGTTTGACTTACAGTGCCCAACTTCCTCTTCATAAGTCCTCTCTCACTTTCTGTACCTTATGCTTAACCCTCAGCCCCTATGTCAAAATTACACCACAATGTCACTGGCTAGAAGGCTAACTCTCCCCCAAGCAGGGGAGTCATGTAAGGAACAAGTAATGAGTTACTGCCTCATGTAAGGCATTTGCTCCCAAGGTACAATGGGGAGGGGGCTATCGGGAAGCTTCATCCCTCTCTTTCAGGTAATCACACCCCCCAATCCCTCTATACTTTGGGGGATGTCCAACTATTCAAAATACTCCCGAAGTTCGCCCTACTTATTGTATTAGCACTTTCGGTTTATACTGTCCTGATTTCCATTGGTGCTCTGGTGGAAGAATGATCTTATGTCACCACCAATTTTTATGCAAATGGACTGCATCCTACCACCAGTTAAAGAAAAAGGTCACTAAGGGCAATAACATGTAGCATGGAGAGGTTAAAACAGATCCCTAGCGACTGGTAAAGTCAAATAAAACCACTATTGCTCTCAAGTTTGATTCAGAAGATGTCAAAGTCAGGTCTACAAAAAAGAAAAAGATCCATAAAATCAGAAAATGCTTATTGCCGACAAGGGAAAGACCAAAATGGGGTCTTATTTTTTTAATAAGGTTTAATCTATTTCAAAAGTACAACGCTTTTAGACTGTTCATTTTTTAAAGATTTTATTTATTCATTTGAGAGAGAGAGTGAGCGCACAAGCAGGGGAAGGAGCAGAGGGAGATGGAGAGGGAGAAACAGACCTCCTGCTGAGCAAGGAGCCCAACATAGGGCTGGATCCCAGGACCCCGAGAAGGTCTTGGGTATGATCTTTTAAAAGGCAGTACCTTTTTACTTCAGAGTAAGCTGAGTGGTGGAGATGAGGTAGGATGCCACAGAATTCAGTAAATAAACCAGTCCACCCTTCATCCATACTCCATAATTAGCTTTAGAAAATAATTACATCTTTGCCCAAACTTTTTTTTTTTAAATTTTTATTTATTTATGACAGTCACACAGAGAGAGAGAGGCAGAGACACAGGCAGAGGGAGAAGCAGGCTCCATGCAGGGAGCCCGATGTGGGACTCGATCCCGGGACTCCAGGATCACACCTAGGCTGAAGGCAGGCGCTAAACTGCTGAGCCACCCAGGGATCCCTTCAGTCTGTTCTTATGTGAAAACTACTACATTTCTTTAACTGTTTTAATGGCATATTGTTGACTTTGGCCTAGTTCCATTATTTATGCATACTAATGACAACCCTGCTAATGTTTTTTATTTAAAGTTGAACAGGTTTTCATTTTGCTTCACATATATTCTCTGATGATACCCAGGACTTCTGGAAATAGTTAAAAAGGGCTAATAGTAGGGGAGGGGAGAGACAACAAAGATATAATCTAAAATGTCTTCATGATCACCTTCTAAGGTATTAATGGATGGATAGCAAAGAGGCTGCCATTTTAAAAAATTTATTTATTTTATTATTTTAAAAAGATTTTATTTATTCATGAGAGACAGACAGACAGACACACACACACACACCAGGGAGAGGGAGAAGCAGGCTCCATGCAGGGAGCCTGATGTGGGACTTGATCCCAGGACTCCAGGATCACGCCCTGAGCCAAAGGCAGACGCTCAAGCCACCCAAGGATCCCCGAGGCTACCATTTTTAGAATATACTCCAGGTATCCATTTTTTTTAAACCAACTTTACTGAAGCTTTTCTGTCATAGTTCTATTCACTTCCTTTGCATGTGTGACCCTAATAATGTTCCAATTTCTGAAGAAATTCAGTCTTCTAACTATTGAAGGCTTCTGGTTTTCCTTTTCCCAGAATATTTCTAAAAATTTTAAGTAAGACCACTCCAGTATAAAGCCCATATAAATTCTGTTAACATTTTTAAATCTTGGAATTGTCCTACAATAGGTCCCTAAATCCATAATAATTTAGCTGTTTAAATGAGCAATGAGACCCTTGTTAGTAAATTATTTCTACTGGGTCCTCCCTACACACGTGCTTCCTTGAACTCTGGCAGACTGGTGAGACACGAATCACTTCTTAGAGCTCTCCTGCCACACTTCCCCCCCACGTGTGATCTTCTATCATGGCTCTAACTTTTATAACGTGGCCCTGTGCAGGTTCCTAAGTCTGTGTCTCAACTTTCTCACTTGTCAGAAAGGAAATAACTATTAATTACACAAAGTTGATATAAGGATTAAATGAGGTAATACATTTAAAGTGCTTAGTACAATGCTTGGCATGTATGGTGATTACTGTTCTATTCCTAAACCAGAGAGTCTACAAAGAGATTTTACCAACCTAATCTTATTTGCTACTGAAACAACTCCAGGAGGAATACTTTAATTATCCTCACTCAAATCGGGGGTGGGGGTGGGGGTGGGAATCAAGCTTTAGAGAGGTTAGCAACTTTCTCCAAATCATAACTCTAGCTAAAAGGCAAAGGTAGATTCCAGATTTAGGTCCCTCGATTCCTGTATTCTTTCCATCCAGTCACAGTGTTTCCCGCAAACCATCTTGCCTTTAATCCATTACTGACTCTAGAAGTTATTCCTTCTATTGTTTGTCACAAATGAAAGAGAAAGTCAGTAGTGTCACTGCTGCTATTCTTAACATGTAGGGGTTACGGCAGTAAGAATCCTGTGATAGCATGGTTATATTCTTCCACAAAATAAGCATCAGTAGTATTTTACTGCTTATAAAAGCAATATGTACTCACTGAAAAAAAATCAGTCAATATAGAAAGATACTTGAAAAATCAACAAACCTGGGGCACCTAGGTGGCCCTGTTGGTTAAGTGTTAGACTTTTTTTTTTTAAGATTTTATTTATTTATTTCAGAGAGAGAGAGTGTGAGAGTGCATGAGGGGAGATAGGTGAGGGGGCAAAGGGAGAAGCAGATTCCCCACTGAGCAGGGAGCCCAATGAGGGGTTTGATGATCTGAGCCAATGACAGATGCTTAACTGACTGAGCTACCCAGAGGCCCGAAGCATCAGACTCTCGATTTTGACTCAGGTCATGATCTCAGGGTCCTGGGACTGAGCCCCATGTCACGGGCTCCTCACTCAGAAGGGAGTCTGCTGAAGATTCTCTTCCTCTCCCTTTGCCCCTGCCTCCTGCTCTAAAATAAACAAAATCTAAAAAAAAAAATAAAAATATAAATAAAAAAATAAAGCTGTGGTGAAATCTTTGCACATAATATTATAACTTTGGGCATCTCTCCATTATATCCTTGGAATAAACTCTTAGAAGTAAAACTGATAATGAAAAAGGTAAACAGGGCAGCCCCAGTGGCTCAGTGGCTTAGTGCCGCCTTCAGCCCAGGGTGTGATCCCTGAGTCCCGGGATCGAGTCCCACGTCGGGCTCCCTGCATGGAGCCTGCTTCTCTCTCTGCTTGTGTCTCTGTCTCATGAATAAATAAATATAATCTTAAAAAAAAAAAAGGTAAATAATTTTTAAGTTTTGATAGATACTGCCAGATTATCCTCTATAAATATACCCATTTAAAGTATCTCCAGGGGCACCTGGGTGGCTCAGTCAGTTGAACATCTACCTTTGGCTCAGGTCATGACCACGGGTTCCTAGGATCAAGCCCCACACTGGGCTCCCTGCTCAGGGAGGGTGGGAAGGGGTGGGGGTAGTGTCTGCTTATCCCTCTCTCTCTGCCATTCCCCCTGCTTGTGCTATCTGCCAAATAAATAAAATCTTAAAAAAAATAAATAAAATCTTTCCAGCAATATGGGGAACTTTCACTTTCCAGAACTCTTGCTAGTGTTTCAGTTTTCTTCATCTTTGCTATTCTGATGAGTGAAATACAAATATAACTCATTTTTTGATATTCATTCTAATGTAATAAATTAACATCATTTTTTTCATCAAAAATTTCACCTTCAGGGATCCCTGGGTGGTGCAGCGGTTTGGCACCTGCCTTTGGCTCAGGGCGCGATCCTGGAGACCCGGGATCGAATCCCATATCGGGCTCCCGGTGCATGGAGCCTGCTTCTCCCTCTGCCTATGTCTCTGCCTCTCTCTCTCTCTCTGTGACTATCATAAATAAATAAATTAAAAAAAAATTTCACCTTCAAGAGCCTTAAAAGTAGGGACACCTGGGTGGCTCAGCCACTTGGTGCCTGACATTAGCTCACGGCATGATCCTGGAGTCCCTGGATCAAGTCCCGCATCGGGCTCCCTGCATGGAGCCTGCTTCTCCCTCTGCCTAAGTCTCTGCCTCTCTTTCTGTGTCTCTCATAAATAAATAAATAAAATCTTAAAAAAAAAAAAGGCCTTAAATTCTGGGTGGGTGGGGACAAACAACCACACTGGGCATGTATTAGGTAATAATGATTTATTCATATCAAGTTTGTCAGGCTTGACCAGAATCACTGGATGTTTCCCAGGACTGCTCTCATCTCCCTGGAAGTCTGAGAAAACAACATATGATTACAAGACCA